TGGGCAGTGCTTCTTCAACATAACCTACAGCTATATTTACTCACCAGCAGAGTTTCCCTCTTTGCCTTGAGCTCCATGGCAGACTCTATGGACGTTTTCCCCCTACGGCTCCTCAGACCCTCTACCTTCACTGTGGTGTCCAGCACTGGTCCTCTCCGTCTGTTGGACTTTGGGGTGGACACAGAGGTGGTGCTCACTGTAAACAAACACCAAACTAACTTCTTCACATAAACCATCAAATTTCCAATCACATATATTTTTTACACATACATGTACCTACAAAATAAACACTCCCTGAAATAATTGTGGATATAGTTACATATATCTCTGTAAATCTACTGGGTATTCCTGACTCAGAGGACTTTGCATATTTGTAGAATACCATCTACTCTCAAAAATGTCTTTCTCCTACAACAATTGTACCAGTTTTTTTTTTTTTTTGATTTTACAGAACTGAAGCAAATTTAATTGAGTCAGCACTTACCACTTAAAATTGCTTGAGTGACCAAAACTTCTGACCTTTCTTGACATAGGGAGGCTTCATTGTAGTTAGCCTCCACCAGCCTGTCTCCCCAAGTTCATTAGCACCGGACGTAAAGTGATGGGGACATCCAGAGGATAATGTTCCCGCTACAGTCCCATGCCACAGGGTGGTCTTCTTCCTGGAATTTCATGTTTTTATGCAAAGATTTGAACCCTTGCTGTGGTCCCATCCTAGCTATTCAAAGGACCATACATTTTGAACAAATCTACATTTCTACTACATGTATGCATGTAAGCTTTGGTGTATAATCAACAACCAGTCATGTGAGGTTAGAATTTTAGAAGAAGTTCCACTTACACTATAAAATTGCACACTTGTGTTTATGATGCTGAAATCTTTTAATAGAATGTATTAATCGGCTGCCCAACTGTACATTGATAATCTCTTGATTTGACATCTAGTACATGTAGTCATTTTGATAAATAAGAAATCTACAGTAGAAATGTCAATGTTAACAAGCAAACTTATAAAGGCAGCTGGACAGGTAAAAAAAATTCATAAGAAAATCTCAATGATGAAAAGTTATAAATCAAATCGAAAACATATTATTGCTAAAATGTAAGAAGTTTGTATACATTTAGAAGATCCTACCTATGTGACCCAAACAAAGCATTCCAGTGTCTGTCTATGTAGGCACAGATGTGTTCTTTCCACCTATAGTAGCCACACTTCCCAGACTGTCCCAGGGTCTGGAGATTGTATAGGGCCAGGTACACTACCTGTGTCCTACAAAAAATGTACATGACCATTTCAGTGTTTGCAAATAGTGTAGAGGCCATGACCATACCATGTCCTACACAATACAGTGAAAAGCTTTTCATACAAACCACTGCATTTTCATTCTCTTTACTTCTTCTTGACCATCTTCTGCACAACTGGAGCATGTCAGATTGAAGAAAACATCGCCAACCATAGAGGAAGGGGTACCAGACTTTAAACACTCTGTAATGTCGGAAAACAAACAAAAATTTAAATTTTATTAATTTAATCATGTCATCTTATTAAATAAGGCAAAAATAAAAACAGTCTTGTTTCCAAAACATTTTTTTGCACCGACCATAAAGTTTTTATTTGGTTTTTGAGCAAATGAAAATTTTAAAAATCCAAAAGTGAAAAAAATTACATTCTGGTATTTCAATATATATTAAATATTGACTTGCATGAACACACTACATTTTAAACGATTATATTGACCAATGACATGTTAATTTGGTTTTGTAATAGTTCATATCCAACAACCATTAGAAAAAAATAAAATAAAATAAAAAAATTATTGTACTAATTTTTTTTCAGGCTGGTCTTTATTTAAATGTTAAACAACATTTAAAAATTGTATTTATTCTATTAATATAAAATTTAATTGAGCATGACGAACATCAACATTTTCTGCATACGAAAGTAAATATATTAATAGCTCCAAGACCACTAGTATAATGATTATTATACAAAATTCGACTTCTGTATCAATCAATCTATACATTTGGTTTTGCTTATAAATTCAATCCAAGACATTTTTTGTAAAGGTAATAGTACCAAATATCTTCTGCTACATTTTTTAAATAATAACTTATATATTGCAAACATCATATGTATAGACACAGGCACATGACGTTACTTATTTTTCTTTTAATAAAAAAAAAATTATAAGTTAGGGGTATACTTTTTTAAAAAAGAAAAATAAGTAATGTCAAGTGCCTGTTTTTATAGAATATATATTATCGCAAAAAATTACCAATGTGAAACCTCTTCTCACAAACTTGACACTTGAGATAGGGAGAATCATCTTCAATACACACAGCATTACAATAACACGTCAGTTCTGATGTCTCCAACTCTGCCATTCTCAGTCTTTATCTATTTTAAATGAAATTAAACTTAACCATGATATAAAAATTTGATAAACATTGATGTGAAAAAAGGTTTTGAACAGTTGAAAATTGTAAACATTTAAATAATTTTTTTTCAATTTTCCTAAAATATGAAAAAACTTCATTCTTTCCACAAAACACAAGATCATATAACAGTGACTTATAGTAAATATATTCTTAGAAAATTAATTTCTTTAAATGCAATCTCTAATATTACCAAACATCTCTCCAAATGTCTGAAATTACAGAAATGATTATAATATCGAAATTCACAGCAAACCAGCAAACATGTGCTTTAATGTTTTGGGTTGGTTTCGTATTATTGGATACCATTATCCTATCTCTGGTGTAGATCTAAAACACCCTGTGCAAAATTCTAATTTTATGTATTATATGCTTAAATTACGCATGCTTTTTATCTTCTAATGATTTTTTTTATTTAAAAATTGTTTCCGAAACTAATAGCCAGTAACTCGGATTAGTATAAAAGACGTTCCCGCCAGAGCTGAGTTGGTGATCACGAGGCCCATTGACCACAACGCTCACCTTAATTACTTTGTTCATGATTTGTTCTTTGTATTTATAAAAAAAATTATCCAAGTTTTTTTAAACATTCTTCCCTTCCTTCAAAAACAAGGGGAAAATGCATGGATGTGTATGTGGTACTTTCCTAGTATTAAGGGCCGGTCATTACATGAACAAACTTAACTGAATTAATTAATCTATCCAGCACATCTGCACTGGCAATTCATTCCCATATGATTCATATTTTCAGCACTACCTCCAGAAGGTCTGCATGTGAATATCACGAATTCTGGACTGTTATTCCACAGAATTTTTATTTTAAGTTCCAGATGTAAAATTTCTGGGGATGTACAACTAAATTTGATCCTCTATTCTGGATCCTCCCTTCCTTTGAAACCATAATTAGAATCCATTTAATTAGGAAGCTAAGTCGAGTTTAACCTTTTCTTGTCTAGTGACTCATGAAATATTTTTTTATTAAACAACCAAACCTATTTTTGGCTTTTCTTCCTTATTTACTTCCTTGGAAGCAGGAAGAGCCCTTAGATTTTGAATCCCTTTATTCAAAAGATCCTCTCAAGAGTCAATTTTAGTTGAAATTGGCCTAGCTTGTCTCCAAATATACACTTTCAATATTTTTTATTATGCATACTGTTCATTGTCATCTAATTAATAAAGAAACTGTCAACATTCCCATCTCTTTTTCCAGTTAAGAATAATATTCATTTGGCTTTTTGTTCATGCTAGAAACAAACACATTAAAAAAATATAAGGATGGTTCTCTATTAAAATTTCATGGAGCATGACTTTGAGACATTTTCCTGTAATTAGCCTTAGTCATTATTTCTTAGCCATCCTGACTTCCAAACCTTTCCCTCAGCTACTGATTATGTTTATTTCAGGCCATGTCAACATCTGCTGTCTATAAATCCTGTACATCCAAGTATTAGACAATCAATCATACATAGTACGTCGTAACTTAGGTTCCCAGTTTATCATTTTTTTTCTCATTTCCTCAGCACCCCAATGCCTTAATAAAAGATAAACATCACAAAAAGCAAATAATTTTTATTGATACAAATAATAAAACCATGGAATATCACAGACTTAAGCTAGTTGAAAATGTGCAGAAAAAAAAAATACAAACTGAAGTTAAAAAGATCATTTCATACAAAAGGTTAATGTGAAGTTAACTTTTCTGACTGGTTATTTTTGTCAGCTTCTCATAAACGACGGACCTTTAAATAGATTGCTTTTATCAGAGGACAAATAAAAAATTATATCCCTTTCCCCCGTTTTTCAGTCGAATTTAAACAACCTAAAGGCCTATGATATAAACCTGGGGTGCGTTCAACAGCGTATCGGCTAACCTAGCAGCTAAGTAGTAGATATCTATCTCTATTGAACAGACAGCTAACCTAGCTGCTAAATGTTACATTTTGAATAAAAATATGTCAGTAAAAACTTATTACTGGATCAAAGTTTATTTCAGGCGAAAAAATGTATTTAAATTTACATTTAATTCACTTAAATATCCAATATAGGAAATAACCCTCCTTTTTGTAAAAATCTTAAATGCTGCAAATTTGTAACCAAGGAAACCATCTTGGATCTGGGACGTAGCATTAAATATTTATGCTAGCTCTCCATACGTAGCGGCTAGCTTAGCTCTCCATTCAAGAGCATAGCTTTACGTAGCGGCTATGTAGCAGCTACGCTGTTGAACGCACCCCTGGTATATACATGTATGTATAAATATATGAAAGGAATATCTAAAGACCTGTTAGAGGATTTTTATGCAAAATTCATAAACTTTAAGTATTATTAAATGTTAATAATTTTATGCTAACAGTCCAATATTTCATTCATAATATTTTCAAAAATACACTGTACTAAGATTTATAACTTTCCTAGACTATAAAAATTACTACATTTCATTATCTTGCCAAGTTATATCATTACAATAAATGGAAATTATAAAGTGCAGTGGATCTAATTAATATTTCCTACGCTACTTGAAAAATGTCTAATTTCATTCAGAACACCCCAGTTATGGATGGTAATTGAAGCACTTTGATGAATTTAACATTTTTATAAATCATCTCATAGGTATACATCAATTTTATATAAACAGAAAATATAAAATTCCCTGACAGAAAAAAATGCTTATTAAAATAATAAACAAAGACTTACACCTTGTGCCAAAAATGATAAAGCAACTCAAACGAGGATAAAAATAACACAAAACCAAATTAACACTCCTTAGAATATTTTCAAAGTAAAAAAAAATAATAATCATGAGAAAAAAAAATTCTTGAATTAAGAAAAAACACATAAAATTCCATGGTTTTTGTATAAATATTGACAAAACAATACAAAACCTTGTGCAAAAAATCAATACCAACTTATGAAATTAAACCATGCACTTACTCCTTAGTTATATTTCCCTTATTAAACTCTTCATTAAATTAACTGTCAACATTTATTAACATAGCTAGTATTTCCCTATAGTACAAGCACATTTCACTAAAACATTCAGGGTTTTTAGCACAAATATACACATATATACACAGAATATTTCCTCTGATCTCAAATTTTAACACAATTCAATCCTTAAATTCCAACATGATGTTCCTCTACATTCTGTTTTCTAACACTTGAACACATCTCAAATAACATCTTTCCAGTTCTTATAAATATATATCACTTTTTTCTTCACATTTGTTGTAGTTGCAAGAAGCAACACTTTTAAGCAAAATAACAAACATGCTGAATTGCATAAACACCTCATTTCATTCTAATAAATACAATCTTCAAAGAAAATCCAATGTTTCTTACATCATATACTTATTTGCTCTATTCAATCCATTCACAGTACTTGTGCTTGCAATCTTCAAAAATAGGTGTATAATACTTTTATTGCACATTTTTTTAACACACCACCAGTTTTTCTACATTTAACAATTGTATATTAATTGTAAATAAAATATTGGCATCAAAACACAGCAAAATTATTCCTGATATAACCGGTTTCATGATGACAAAGTACAATGCTGCGAGTATCTTAGATCATATACATACATTGAACATTACACTGCAAACCAAATTTTAAAGGTGAGACATTTAATTCTCAATACATTTACACTCTAGTAAAGTTCTTAAATAAGTGAATAAATGTAAATATTATTTGCAAAGCAAAATAAACGTTTAAAAAATCCCTTGTTTTTCTGTAAGGTGGCTCGGTTGATAATACGGATGACCATAATTTGTCATCTGTTTGAAAATTAACTTCACGCATGTCTCAAATTTATAAAAGTTGGTTAACAGTAAATTATAAAACCAAAAAATGATTTTAAAAAAAAATTATTCATATTATGGACTAGTGCTGTCCATTAAAAATAATCACATTTTTTTTTTCCAGCTTATTTTTTAGCATCAAGACATCAATCATATTTTTCTTACCACTGACTCAATATCTTAGGAATGTACAATATTTTTTTGAGGTTTTTACTGTTCCTGTAATAATCGTAAGCAAACAAAGCCAGCTATCGCCTCTAATTCGAAAACTATTTTTCTGCGATGCAAACTACATGTCTTCTAATACACTGTAAGCCACTTACTAGTAAGAGAGGTAAATCAAAGGGACAAAACTCTTGCGTAAAATGGAATACACATCAAAATAGTTTTAGCTTTAATACAAGTAAAATTAAATAAAATTAGTCTTTAGCATTAAGATACAAAATAAATAATTAAGCAAGTATAAAAAATGGGTTAATTAATATCAATAATTTCATGCCATAAATAAATTAGGTTGGGATTGACAAAATGAAGGATGGTTTTAAATGAAAGCCAGACAAAAGTATTTCATTCTTTTGCCTTTGTGCGATTTACATTAGCAAGCATGGGGAGATCAAATGAAGGTATATTATTTACGTTGAGCAAATTTTTTTTTCTGACATTTCTTTCACAACATTACCAAACAAAAGCCACCAGTTAAACTTAAGGAACTTCATGTATAAGGATATTTGGGAATAATGAATATATGGGAAATGTATGTCGAATTATATGAAAGTACATATACATTCATGCTAAATTTTGATTTTAGTGATGATAACACAGCAAACATTCTAGGCAAACAAAATCAACATGAAATAAATTAACTCAAAAACACAGCAGCATCTATTATTTCCATAAAACACATTTTGGACCAAAAATCTTCCACAATTTTGGACACAAATTCTTTGTGCGAAATTCAAAAAAAAATTCAATTAAAAAATTTTGCAAGTAAAACATAAAGTACACAATATAATTCCAGTGAATGTAAGATATTTAAGTGTAGATCTGCAACATATTGTTGGCTGCCTTGAGATCAGGCTTAATGAAGATGATAAAGTTATCCCTGTGTACGGTGTGAAGGGCTGCCTCTGAAACTGTGCTTTTCTGCTGTATACTGGCTGGTTGAAGAATTGTGCAAGGTCAGATTACTACATCTGCCAACCTGAAAAACAATTTTGAAATTTGTTTTTATTTAATTTGATATAAATCACACATTTTCTATTAATGGTTATGAGCAAGTTACAATACTTCAGTTTTTTAAGTTGGTGAAACTTGATTTTCATTCCTTTTATGAAAACACTTTCATTACTTGCACTACAATAATTTCAATAATTCTATTTCTGAAACACTATATACTTTTGAATACTTAAAATAATTAAATTATTTCATGTATTATAATTGCAATAACAAATACAATCATTATGGAGTGTACAAAGGGAAATACAGAATATCTCATGGTCATTTTTATCTTCAAATACTACATTGTATTATTGTTTTGTTCTTTTCATTATGTTTATTTCCTATAAATTATTGATTCATTTAATACATGCATCAGAAATAGTAATGAACACATGGTAATGATCTATATTGATTATCCATCATAGAAATCTAACATCAGACCATTTCTAATTTGACCAAAATATACAGCTATTCTACAGAGCCTGAGACAGGTGCTCTCTCCTCTGATAAAGACTATCCCCAAATTGTCAATTTTTCTCATACATGAATATAATTAAAATTCAACAGAAAATTTAACGTAAATGAACAATGTATTTACTGTTAAAGTAGTTAATGCTTATAATCTTTTTGGTAAAAGTTTTAATAAATTCCGTAACCTGAAGTACAACCAAATGATGGCCAATTACAGGTGATCACTGTGTGCATTACTATTAAATCAGAAAAAAATTTTCAAAAGGAAAGAGATTTTTGAAAATTCATGCAAATTATCAGTGAAAAAAAGCATGTCATGCATGGGAAGATAAAAAAATCAACAGAGGACTACGAAACATGCTTCATAAGTTGTCAAAGACTGAAAACAGACTGCTAATATGTAACATGTATTTAACATAACTGGTAACACTTTCTGAGACATACCATTTTATTTATTTGAGGGGGATGAAATTTTTTCTTCAACTACAACTGAAATTCAAACACAAAAGAAAAACTCAAATGACTAATGGACGATAACCACACTTGTATGTATATGTACTGTTAATAAAGTTTCTGTAAATGAAGACATGAAAATACACTAAAGGATATTTACCTAAATTGAGTTCATTTATATTTTACTAAAATGTGTACCATATATTCATAAAAATTCACAAATCACAATATTTCAGGATACTCTTAATTATCAAAAGGTATGGTAAAAGTGAAACTTCATTTACAGTACATAAATTCAAATAAAACCAAAACACACAGACTGCACTGAGATAGCTTGACAAATTAAACTCATATAGAGAGAATTCCTCACCTGTCTGCATTTGGTTTCCAAACTGCTGTTGAATATTGCCTTGATCCTTGTTAAAAACCTGGAATGGCACTGCTGTGAAAGTAGTAAACCTCTGCCTTGGGTTAGAGTTACCTCCCTGTAAAACACCAGATGGCGCTGGATGTATGGTCACTGGTGATCCACGGAAAGTATTTATCTGCTGGGGAATTCGGGGCTTGAGTGCCGGCCCTCGCTGTGTTTCACTGAATTTTTGTGGCGGTGAAAAATTGTTGTTCATATTGGCTACTGTAGTGTATGGTCTCTCGGGAAATCCATTTTGTACTGTGTTAAGGTTAGGTCTAGGTTGTATGTTCACATTACTGGGACTGCCTTGTGGTCTGTGGTTTACAGTAAGGATTGGAGACTGCCCATGGGGAGAGGGCATTCTCTTCTGTTGACCTTTGGGTAAGGGTAGCAGAGGTCTGTTAGTATTGGCTACAGGCATTGGAAGAGTACCATTGGATGGTTTCACTGCAATGTTAGGTGGTGGTCTCGTTAAGTCTGGAAAATTAAACGCCTGAACTGTACCTCCTCGGTTATCTATGGTAAACTGAAAACTAGGCCCATTTGGCTGGACACCATTAGCTGGGGGTACTAATCCATTAGTGAGTGGGACTACATTGCTACCAGGGGGAGGAGGGGGTGGGGGGACCTGTGAACACTGTTGTAATGGCTGGGTGAAGTTGTTGACAGCCTTTCCCTGAGATGGAGGTGGTTGGGATGTCACAAGTGTCCCTGGTATAGAAGTTCTAATAATCTGCCCAGGGGTCCCTGAGCTCTGAGGCATCAACTGCAGAACAACAACATTGTTCAAAGACGAAGCAGGAATAGTCTGGTTTCCCAGAGCAGCAGTTTGTATTAAATTATTCCCTGATTTTACTGCATTGTTGGCCATTATCATCATTGTTGGATTATTCACAGTTGTGTTACTGTTCACTATACGATAGCTGCCATTTAAGGTTGCATTGCCTATACTGGTTTTTAATGCTATCGGTTGGAAAGAAGTGCTAACTTTCATGGGTTTTGCACCAGGTTTAGGTGTAGCAGGTTGTTTGACTGGTGACCTTTTAGCTGGTGGCCCTCTGCTACAACTACTGCTACAGCTCGAACTGCGCGATCGACTTCTGCTGGAATATGAGCATCCAGAACTACACGAGGAGCTACTGGAGGATCGGGATCGACTACTGCGACTCGAGTCGTAACTGGAACTCCGACTCTTGCTACTGTACGAACCGTGAGTATCACTTCTCCTGTACTGGGTTCGACCACGATTTGACAAGTTTCTATGTCGACCATTTACATGCGTTCTCATGTCATTCCTTCGATTGTTCACAAACTGACTGGGGGACCCCGGGGGTGTCCTTGGGCCCTGTTTGTGAGCCGGGGGGCTACCAGGGGGTGTTCTAGGCCCTGAGGGTTTTATTTTAGTATAAGGAGCACTTCTGGAATGGTCCTGGTGAGATCGAGATGAAGATTTCTTGTGCACATTGTTATGGTGATGATAACCAGATTTCAGCTGTTTTTCTGTGCGTTTATTTTTAGTTAGTTCAGAGGAGGCCAGAGCTACCAGGGCATCAAAGCCACTGGTGATTTCTTTTGGTTTAGGCTTACTGCTAGAATGTCTGTAGGATTTGTCAGTTCTATGTTCTGAAATATAAGAAAAAAATATTTTGTATTTATTTGTATTGCTTTAAATGTCAAACGCAAACAAATAAGTTGACTTTTCACTTGCTAATTAGATAAAAAATTAAAATTCATATTTATATCTGCTAATTAATGTACATTTCTACAAATAAGGCACTGATAATTGAATTTTTGTATATAAAATAAATCTTATAAACAACATCCAGGAAAATAACTCATTTAAATGTTCTTCTATATCATTTGATAATTATGGAGAATTTTTCAAAACTTGATTTGATGTCAAAATGAAAATTGACAAGATAATCCCAATTTTCAAGTCACCAACTTCAGCAGAGAAATTAAACCAAAATCTCTGTATTAAAGAACCATAATAAAATGATAAATTAGTCATGTCATGCCCCCCTCGCCTAACAACAAAAGCATAATAAATCTTTTACCTTTAACCGCTGCCTTTGTGAACAGGGGACTGTTTCTACAGGAGCTGGAGGCAGACTCCAGGCCTGGGGTTCTCACTGGTGTCATGGATTTACTGGAAGCTGGTGACGTCCGAGATAAATCTGTTCTTGGTTTCTTAGCCACGCTGGGAGAAGTAGAATCATTTGGTTTACGTTTGATGGTAGCGGGTTGTTTAGAATGGCTGTGATTGTTGAATGTTGGCACACAGTTAGGCTTCACATGATTGTGAGCTTCTGACATCTGTATCAAGGCTTCAGCTAGGTTCAGCTTTTGTGACATGGTTCTTTCATCGGATTTAGAATAGCTTAAATGAGTTGTAGTGGTTGATCCTGACTTGGCTTTGCCTGTAATTTGATCCTTCACCACAGCTTTTATGTAATTGTTTATAGTCCTGCCTCTGTTACTACTGTTTCGACTCTGAGAGTTTGCTGGAGAATAACCGAAGCTACTGACCCCTGAACTCTGACCCAATTCCTCCGGTGCATCTGTACTGTCCACACTACTTGACCTGCTGATTGGAGAGTACATGGCCATTAGTCTTTCAGCCTTGGTCATTTCTTCCTTTACAACTGGACCTGCTCTGTTCTTCTCCTCTAGTCTTGCTTTATCTAGGGGGATACTGACCGGGAGGGAGGGTTTGGTCTGACCCTCCTCCGACTTCACCTTTCCCAGTGGTATACTAACAGGGAGAGAAGGTTTGGGTCCCCCATCTTTAAGTGCCTGGAGGGCTATAATTTTCTGCTTTACACCATTTACAGGTTTCAACATGCTCTCCTTTTTAACATGGCTTTTACCATTATCCACCATGGCCAACACAGGAACAATGGACTTGACGTAACTATCCTTACTTTTCTCTCTCTGTAAAGCACTTGCCTCCAGTAGGGATTGTAAAGACAAAGCGTTTTTCACTTTCAGATCTGGCTTTGAGGAGACTACTGATACTGGTGCAGTGGACACTGAAGCTGCTGTGGTTTGCCCTACAGAAGATGATGGTATGATCCCTGAGCTTCGAGAAGTAGGGGATAGAATACTCCTCATTCCTACAGGAACAGCCTCCTTTACTTGGCTACACTTCACAGATGCATTCACTACTTGGGCATTGCTGACACTCTTCATGGATGGGACACTTGTGGCTAATGACATAGATGTGGTTGATGGTGCAGTTAAGGTTGATGGGACAGTTGTGCATGACGGGATAGTGGTGGTGGTTGATGGGATAGCTATGGATGATGGTATAGCTGCCTTAGGTATATCCCCTAGTCGTTGATATAGATTTGGCACAGGTTTCTGACCCTGAGCTATAAGGAGGAAGTTCTCCTTCTCGACTTCCGACAGATGCTGGTTCTCACTCTCCAGAGCCTGTACCTCAGCCTCAAGCTCCTTGACTTTGTTAAGTAACTTCTTCTTCTGGGAGTAGGTGGTGCTGACATGCTTCATCAGATCATTGGTTAGCTCTGGTTTGATAAATCCATTCTGCAAAGTGATTAATACAAATATTAGCATAAAACTGAAGAAAGCCAGACATGGGACTGAAATTAATGTAACACTGAAAACATTTTGCATAGCACTTCGCCATATGTAGGATTTTAACTTGAGAATATATAATATCATAAGTGAAATATTGACTCCCTGAGGCAAACTGAAAGTAAAGAATCTAACCTTGTTTCCATTCAATTTCTGACTAAGGACTTGCTGATTTGTTTCACTCTGCAAAATAAGAAATTCACAGTTACACATGTACATTTCAAATAAAAATTCATGTTGAATACCTGAATTACAAAACATTTTTGAAATAGCTTTTTAATGTTGACTGTCTTATTAAGAGTAGACTGACCATTAGTTTGTTCCTCTCTGCCTCCAGATTGGACACTTGACCCTGGAGGCTACTCAAATGACCCTGTAGCTCCTTATGTCCAGTTACTATCTTCTTTGCTTGCGTTAAAAACTCAGATGGATTCTCAGCATTAATACCCAGCTGTAAATAATCATCAAATTTGAAGCTATATCTGCATTCATGTTGAAGATGCACAAAACTTGTTATTTTTATAATTAGTCTAAAAACACTGTAAGAAAATATCTTTAGTAAAATAAGTAAAAATTTCAAAGTTTCTTTGAATATTTGATTTTTCCCTCCAATTCTCAACTTATCTGTATTAAATACACACCTCCTTCATTCTCTGTTTGAGTCTTGACACGCCCTCTTTCTGCAGTCCTGATATCTGGGTCTCAAGGTGCAGGGCTTTGGCCCTCAACTGTAACTGTCTTTGCTGAAAATTGAATGAAAGTAATACATCTATTCTTTTTATCTCTTCCTTTTTTAATAATGTAGTAATCTCCAAGAAATGCTCATTAGATTTAACAAGTAAAAATGTCAGTCTTCAAAACATACCTTTTCCTTCTCAATTTCTTGCTGAATGGCAATTTTATACTGTGGGCTTTTCATGTAAGACATGAACTGCATGTACTGTTGTTTAAACAAATCTGTGGAAAGAAAATATTTTAAATAATTGACATTTTGCAGAAAAATTTTAAAAAATAGTATATCAGTGAACTCTCTCTTACTTCTTTTTCTTAGATATTCTACTTAGATGTCTTTTAAATAGTCAGCTGATAATAATAAGTAGATACAATGTACTGACCTAGCAGATGCTGCAGGGCGGGGGGCTCTGACTCCAGGGAGGAGATTGACCGACTCTGAGTGGTGGGTTTGAAGTACGACGAGGATACAGAGGTCATACTGAGGTCATTCCACTTCATGGTGTTCTCAGGTGGAGAATCTGGGATGAAATAATGAAATACAAGATTAAATCAATGTTGTCCTCTATCTCAGTAACTATAGCTGCTAAGAAATTGGATAATCAAATCATGTAGATGTAATTACTTCTTACCAGACTTTGCTGTTGACATTAATGTGTGAGTATGCAGCAAGTTCAGACTGTCTAGACCAAGGACTTTGGATTTGGCCTTTTCTTTGTTTTTCTTCACACGAGACTGGCGACTAAAATTTGTTCTCTTTCTCCCTAAAAGAAGAATGCCAAGTGAAAACAATGCAAAGAATTAGCAAGTGTTTAAAATCTAAATCTGTTAATAAGAATGTACACCTTACCCCCCGCGGGCTTGTCCTTTTTGACAGCTCTCTTATTCCTCGCTGTCTTCACTGCTGTCTTTGTCTCTTTTGTTGGTTCTTCTTCTTCAACATCCACATGAGACTGGAGAAAATTAAATATTAATATAAGTAATTAAACACTTTAAAATCCTCAAAATAATTTTAAACTTTACAATGATACATGTTAATAACATTATTGTGATACAGTTCTACCTTTCAACGCCCCTAAAAGGCTACAAATATATTTTTTGGTGACAAGAAAATATCATCTACATATTCCTTGCTCTTTATTTCAACAGAACCATAAAAATAGTATATAGTATCCTGAAACCACACAGTCATCCAAGCATCAGTTTGTGCCAGGTGAGAAAGAGAAAAAGGTGGAAAATGTGAGGCACACTGCTCTTCCAACAAACAGTAGTTTTTGTGACTGACAAACACACACGCCGGGTGTGGCTTGACTTACATTTTCACTTTCTTCCCCATCCCAGGCAGACAAAAAGGCTGAGGCTTTGGATTTGCTGATTGTTTCCGACCACTGTCTTCGGGTGGTAGCCCCAAATACCTGGTTATTTTCGTCCATGGTGGTACTTGTCCCTGTACTGGTGTTACTGGCGCTGTCAAAGTCCAAGTTCCGAGATGCCGGGAAGGAACTATTGGAACAGCTATCCAAGGCATTCACACAGGCCCTGCTTCTGCGTTTCAAGACCCCATTCTTAACTTCCTCCTATAAATATTTTTATTATTCTTATTCCATGTAGATTTAGTAATATTTATTGATAAAAATTACTTTGCATATAAAATTAACACCATACATACATGGGTTAACAATGAATTCCTAATTCCTGATCACAGCAAGTATGGTAAAATTATAAATACAACTACTCACCTTCTCTTTATTCTCGATGTTATTTTTATCTCTCAAGGTCAGCAGTCGACCTTTACGATCCTTTCTTACATCCTCTTCATCCTATCAAAAAAAAAATGTTATCCGTTGATAACACAAGTACATGTAAATATGTCCCACATATGATAATTTATCATGATTCACCAAAATTTTACTTCAGAGAAAAAATTTCAACGAAGATACAGTACCTTCAACTTGGGATTTTTCATCCTCAGGAAATACTTCTCAAGCTAAAAATTAAAAAAAAAAAATCAACATTTATAAAGAATCAGGAAAGGAAAAAAAAAGTAGCACAAAAAATCTTAATATCTTAGAATTTACAAGTATTTATGCATCAAAATCATTTTTGCTTTATCATGAATTATTATGAAAACTGAAGTTAGAAAATTAATTTGATACTAATACAGTGTATAATGCATTTTGAATATGCAAATTTATGTTTTGCAAACATGTGAGTGCTAACTTTAATATAAAAAGCATGCAGATATGAATAATCCAAAAATGTTAAAGTAAATAACACAACTATTTTAATGTTATATAAAAATTGTATACAGTATAGGCATGAATACATATGATTCCCAAATCTGTACTCAACTAATCGTTTCCTCTCCTGCTAGTGCATTAAAAATTGAACTAGCCTTGCAAGTCTAGCATCCATACAAGCAAACAGTCTGAACCATCTTTCTATTCATTTTTTTTTTATCCATTTGCTGAGTTTTTTTTCAAATGACCAATTGCAAAGAAAATGACATTTGCCCTATTTTAAGTCAAGTCTTTGTTCATTTACCTCTATCTTAATAAAATATAACTTGTGAATAAAACATGCCAGACTCGGTAAAAGCCTGATCAATTTCCAACATTCAACTCATTTACAGATGTGTAGCTTGTATGACTGATAGCATAATAATGATTTCATGACTGATGAGGGAAGTATGAACTCTGGGTATGGCTACATGCAGAGGGGGGATCCCCCCTACTCACCAAGGTTCTATCAATGGTGTGAATATAGTAAGCAAACGGTTTTCCTGTCCACGATACGGCGCCACTTAGAGGGGACAGCTCGGCAACATGCATGATCGTCCCAATATCTGTAAATGGCAGAGTTTATGTATGTCAACATCTCCACACCTTCTATCACTGGACAGAAAGCCTACTGGGAAACTGACACTCGACGCCACCCCAATTCTGGTCTAAACCAACTCTAGACCCAAGAGACAGGCTGTCTGAACAAAAAATTATACAATCTTTTTAAAGACGTATAATACATTAATCTGACAACATGTTTCTTTCAACCTAGCCATGTTTTTGCCACCTAAACTTCTCTTACTCTGCTACCTGTTGGGGGATATCAGGGGCGAGGGGAGGGGGATGACTCACCATTGCCCTATCTATTGTATGGAGAAAGTAGGTCACAGGTTTGCCTGTCCAGGACACCTCACCACGGAGAGGGGATAACTCGGTTACATTCATTATAGCCCCAATATCTGGAAGAATACTTTAGGAAAATACACTCAAGGCACGGTGGCCTTGAGACATTTCATCAATTTTATCAAGTTTGCTAAGGTGAATTTCCAACTGGTTGTTCAAGATGAGACTAGTAAGTCTAAGTTGGTTTTCTATGACATTCAACAATAAGAATTGCACAAAATTTCATTTAACATGTAATCTTAATCTATTTTTAACAAAGCAAAAATATCTTTTCAACGATTATATGATTAAGCAGTGATATTTTTGTTTACAAAGAAATTGAAGAAATATATATGATTAAGCAGTGATATTTTTGTTTACAAAGAAATTGAAGAAATATATTTTCAATTCATTTTCATTATTTCTAGTACTTATAGCATTTCATAATTATATGTACTTGTAATGTTTCACTTACCACTTAAATTCCTGTCTGTAATTCTGAAATTAAGTGGACAGAATGCTTTTGAGGAGACAATTTTGGCACCTTCTTTCATGTTGGCAAATCTCAGTTTCAGCTGGAAAAAAAAAGAAGCGAGATAACATTTTCAAACAAAGTCAGTTTTTAAAACAGATGTCATTGGTGCCGTTTATCTAGTCATTGAGTATAGTGAATCCTTTTCAATCATAAGTTATAAAGATTTTTCATTATGTCTCTTTTATCAAAATCCACTACTGTATGGTTGTAACAGCAATACAAATAGACAAATGTTGCAATGATGAAGACTAACTTGAGAATTAAAATCCTTATAAACATATGTCCTGAGAATGAAAATTTGGTGGATTTGGGGGGGGGGGGGGGGGCTTTTTGAATCCAAAATATACACGATTTAAAAAATCTCTTTTTTTTTTTTGGTGTGGCTGTGGGGCCCTACACTGACCACAACCCCCCCCCCTCTTTTCAAAATTTCTTCACTGGGGAGTGTTGAAAAACAGGTTGGAAAGTTTCCTTCAGAATTTTCAATTAAATCCAAAAATAAGTGCCACTCAAATAAAACCATTCAAAATAAATTCAACTCACCATGCACCCATTTCTTTAAAAAGGTCAATGTCCATGTCACTTACATGTCAAACAAACGAGTAAGCTACCACATTAGATGCTTCAGAATTTACATTTACACTTTTTATTTGTTTTATTCCCACCTTTAAAAGGTCAGGGAAAGCCAAACGATGTGACATTTATTTGTGGTTAACAAAAAAATACATACCTGATGGTCAACTTGTGGTCCAAACGCAAAGTTGTTAACAAATATCACCCTGTAAATATAGAAATAGCATCCTGACAGTAATATGTTTTAATTAACACCTCAACCAACCACAGAAACCATCAAATCCATTAAATGCTGAATATGTCGTCAGTTTGATCAAACACTGGCACAGGTAATTTCTTTTTTAATTTTCTTTATCCATGAGTTTTAGAATATTTATAAAATTATAAACAGAGGATATTCAATGTTTTGTAGTTGAATATGGAATTTATTTCACGAGTGGGACAGGATTTTTTTTATATTTTTACGAGTGCGAAACACGAGTGAAAATATCAAAAAATTCTGTCTCACGGGTGAAATGAATTCCATATTCAACTACAAAACATTGAATTTTCTGTTTATTACATTTTCTTTGATTTTCCCTTTACCGACATCTTTTTGTAATGCAGTCTTAGGCTACATGACGTCATAGTTGAGTGGTTGAGACGTCATAGCTAAGTGAAAAACATTGTAAAGATGAATTTCAGCAACATATTTGGGGAACTTCTGCAGTTTTATTTTATGACAGAATGGTTTATTAACTCGTTTTCTAACTTATAACAGGTTAAGGAGTATTTTTTACAACACTTTTGGTGAAGGGAAGGAAAATCTCGAGTTTTCTTGCACTTCTGATATCTTTCACACTGTGACAGGATATCATTTTGACATCCTTTCACACTGTGACAGGATATCACTTTTATTCAATGAATAATTAAGTTACAGTATTTCAATGTTAAAAATGTAATAAGGAACTTTATTTAAATTTATTTTTTTATTTTTTTTCGTTTTCAAAATTATGGTCAAATGATGGTCAAAACTTGAAATTTTCAAAATTAATTTTGAAAGGATCAGCTAAATACATATAAATCCATCTTATTGTTTCTCAATTAATTTGAAAGGAAACTGCTAAATACATGTAGGGGCATCTTACTGCTGAGGTAGAGAACTTACGTGGCATTGTTGATTTTATCTTTCACGTCCTCAATTAGGAAATCCCCTTTCTCTATCTGATACTGCCCATGATCTTTCCCATACCATTTAGTCCACTTTTCAAACTCTGAGGACATTGTCTACATAAATAAGATTGATAGTGTTATAACATGTCAATCTCGTACCAAAATTCCAAAAGAGCAATGTTTACTAACTCACCTCAGCATACTTGGCTGGGAATTCTGCTTTCTCTATTCCGTAGCACATCTTACACTGAGTGGCAGCTGCTACTTGTAGAACTACTTGTCCAACACCTGATCCAAGCATTTAAATAAAAATTTTTAGACATTTTTTTTTTTACATAAAAATATCATTACATTACAAATGAAACTTATATAACCACCTAAAACCATTCTTCTGAAATTTTATTACTTTTTGATACTGATAAGTATCTATAGTATCTGAACAAAAAAATTAAATAAATTGAATTATTTACCCTAGTTAGCAATAAGTATTGGCTAAATTTATTTTTTTATGTACCAGTGGAGGTGGGATGGGGGGGGTTTACATCAAAGGACATGCCTTAAAATTACCAACGCCAAAAGAGATTCATGTTTAATCACTGTATTGATAAAATAACTTACCACTGCCCAAGTCAATGAAGTAGTCATCCTCAGTGAAATTGATGGATTGTATCATCTGGTCCACCAGGTCAAAGGAAGTCTCCCCATACACCTACAATATGCATGTGTAATTGTCATTAATGCTCAAAAGAATATATTTTTTCCTTATTTAAAATGATTTTTGATTACAGGTATAATGAACTAAATTCCAAGAAATCAGCCTGCACAATTTTATTTTCATAAAAGTGGATAAACACACATTAATTTTCAATGGCATATTTTCCTGCATGCAAGCCTTTTTTCCCCGCCAGTCATTAGGCAGGTTCTGCCTAGTTCACTGGTTCCCTATTGATTATGCTCATTGTAAATGCCTCGTTACAAGACTGGTATGATAGCACTATTTGTACCCTGATAGAATTACCTCAGGTGAGAACGGTTCATACTGGTTCAGTCTCTCAGGGTCACTGACCGCCTGGTTATAACACTGCTGTAGTATGTGCTTCAACAGACCGGTAGATGGACGACCAGCCAGCTCACTCTGTCGACTCGTACCTTTCCACTACAAAATAACGTAAATTACAAAATAACGTAAATTACAAAATAACATTAAATTACAAAATAACATAAATTACAAAATAATGTAAATTCAAAAATCACATAAATTCACATATTTTCAAACCTTACTTAATCAGTTCATTTAATTTATTACTTTTTGGCCCTAAGAGAAACATGCACAAATTCTCTAATCACTTATTAAAAGTTACCATTCTTAATCCGTGATACATGCATAATATTCTCTCTTCACAAACTTTTTACCCCACCCCCGACATAATCTTTTTCATAATAAAGGGATTCTAAATGAAATGCTAGCATCACTTCATCAGCTTGCTTACAAAAACTCAAGAGATCAACTTACAAATAACAAGGAAATAATGCCCCACCCCTACCAATTACATCATTGCAGCTCTAACCATATATAATCTAAGGTGTGCAAATTTCACACTAATATTTACAACAATCCCTCTATGACGACACTTCTTAATGTTTCAGCTTACTAGCATATTTTTTTTTCCGCATACTGACGTGTTTAGACAGGTAAATACCTTGCAGTATATTGCAGGTTTTATAGTCATGTTATTGTAATTTCATAAGTTGCTAACATTTGATTTGCTGTAATCGGATAGATTGCTTTTTTGTAATACCAAGCCAGTATTCCTTACATCTCACAAAACAAGGTATCTGATCACTTACAAGTTGTCGAATGCTGTCAATCGTCCTGTTGTATTTGTCACAGACATTTTTCATGCTTTCAAAGCTGAAATATCAATAAAAAAATGTTACAGTCTATACTCATATTTCAAGCCATGAAGAATTTATGCAACAATTTTATGGGCATAAGGGAGAATACCTGAAACAAGCACATATTTGTTAATTTCTAATTCTAAAACAAAAATGTGTTCATGGTGTTACAAACATAGTAGGGTAGGGCAATATGATTTTAAATAAATATATTTGTGTAGTAAAGATTTTAAATAGATTAATTGTACCCGCTTGGTGTGTGTGTCATTGCCTCTAAGTTTTGTGCGTCTTGTTTTTCAATATTGTAATGTTTTAAAGATTTTCTAGCACTTTATGCTATATGGTTATGCATAAATTGATTTATTAGCAACCATCTGAGGTACTTACCACTTAATCAACATGTCTAGCAAGTTTGATTACAATTGATAATTTATGAATAAATCTCAACGGATTCTGAATTTGCAAAACCTAAAAAAAATTCTCGTCAACATGTCACTCTGCAACTTTTCTTACCCATTTTTTAATTTAAATTTCTCATCACAACTCATCAATACTTGATAAGTAGAGAAGTTGTTGTGTCTATGATTCCTCATTTCTACAATAGTCAGAATAACCTAGAAGATATACAATACGAGAATCCTTTATAGATTTACCTGTTAACGTCATACTCCTGTAAGATGTGGTTGTTGAGTGCCGACTTCAATTCTGTAACATCTGCCGCTACCCATCTGAAGAAATAGTTCATAGAAAACTTTATTTATAAAATTTACCACATATTAAGATTAAAGAAGTTTTTTTTTTTTTTATTAATTATTTTTTTTAATGTTTAATAGAACCCCAATGGCTTTCTCCAACCCAATAACCCTGGCAATAGCTCAATCGAAATATCTCTTAAGAACTTCGACTCGCTGCTGAAAGTGACCTTGCCTTTACGTACTGACCTTGAACCGAGATACATATTGTCAAAATTTTAGGTCATGAGTAACGCGGTACTTTGAACTACTCTGAACTAATTATTTTATTCCCCTGAAGGAATGCAACATTTCTTTGTGTGGTAAGATCATATGTCTCCACTTCATTGAAGGAGAAAGCAGACTGAAGCACTTTATATGAACAAGGTGAAAATGTGCAAATACAAAAAAAAAGTTTAAAAATCATAACACAGGAAGAAAATGCACTGCCAAGGAATTCATATTCTAGAAGGACGTAAGATATTACAGGTATGACAGTATTTGTATAAAGCTTCCAGATACACATTGATATTGTTAAAAATAAAATAATATCAACAAGATCAAGCATGCCAAGGTTGGTCTTTTTTCTGATCAATGGACTAAGGAAACAATATCCAAGTAAATAACATTCCCACCATCAAATCTATTATGTAACAAACACTCTCATTGGCTAAGTGCTAGTCATTAAAAAAAAAACTGCATTGTACCTGATCTTACTATCTGAGTAAATATTCAATTATTTACAAAAATTAGAAATGGTTTAGAAATGACAAAACATGTTAGTTTCTAGAATGAAATAATTTAGTGATTTGTCATTTTGCTACTATAAAGCTTGAAGCCCATTCATTATTTTCTCTGAACTATTACCACAACTGGGGTAAACTTATATGATTAAAGACCAAGTATTATTGGCATTGTTGTTACTATACAATTATTTTTGTTTATCTCTATCCCAAAACCAGCTGTGTCCAAGTTTCACCATAGTGCAAATTACAAGATACAGAAAGCTGGAAATTTACTGTTGTTTTGAAAGCATATGATCTAATTTTCAAAAATTGTCTGGAAAAAAAGTTTACTTTAAATTTATTAGTAACAATTTTATATTTTTCTATAAAAATCGTTTTCTCCTGAAATTGCTTATTAATAATTTCATCAATGATCTCTCCAGGAAAAAAAAAACGCAACCAATAAATATCATATATGAATACTTGTCAGAAGTCAAGAAATCAATTTAAGCAAAGTAATTGCATTAATATTTCGTGCTGGTACACATATGATATGGATTTTCAGTAAACAATGGCTGTGCTTGATATACAGAGATGGTTTTTATAATATTTATTTCATTCTCTCTCTTTTTCATTACATGTAAACTGTTACAGTCTTAGTGTAAACAGATGCTCTTTAAATTTTGGGTGCATCTTTCAAAAATATATACCTGGCAGTGCCAAAATATGGCTGAAATGTTGCCGACTCAGCATTCAACTAAGAATCAATCAATCAAAAAATATATTTATCCCGTTTATAAATTTATCTTCAGAAATCCATATTATTAAACAAGCTAGCAGACAAGACTTTATAGTTTTAAGCTATAGAGTCAATACACCCACTTCTCTTTCCTCAAATCAAATATAATCCAACCCACAAGAAGTATCAATTGTTGACAACCTGACCTATTTAAACCACCTACACATTGACTCCCTATCCATATGCCTATAACACCTTGTAGGACTAATGGGAGAGTGTCAGAAATTGACAGGGAGACAATCACCCCCCTTTATAGACTGACCAGCAGACACCACCGCCAGCAACAGCAGCGGGTTCCAGGGGATTACAGGGACAATGCCTCTGTGTGAACTCGACAACTATTGATCTTGTCTGGATACAGCCACAAGGCTGAGAGTCTGAGAGTGAAGAAGAAACATATCTCTGGTTACTACCTCATCAGCAGCCCTTTCTGCCCTCAGAATTTCTGAGGTTATTTTTAGATGTGGATGTACCATTTACCTGGTTCTCCGACCAATCAATAGTAGATATGAAAATAAAGTGGTGTCGACCGCGAGATGAATTTGGTGGAGGAATTGATGTCCAGCACAGACGGTTTAATAAATCTTGCATAATACATAACACAGTGAGAAAGACCTGATTAATCAATTTCTATACCTATAGCTGCATGTACTACCTGCTATACCCCGGTATGCCATATTAAAAGCTGGCATGTGCAAATTTGTATTTCACAGTATGACCTTTCTTTCACTTATGGATGATCGTTAGGTATGATAAATGAATCAAGGCAGAAATATGCATTAGTCCTTATTGATTTTTTTTTCATGATCAACAGATTGAGGGGGAAAAGAAAACCTGTTCAATACTAGAATTACTTTTATACTTGATTTATCCCCATCGATAGAAACTCCAGGATATATAACAATTTTACATGTGAAACCTATGGTTTTTCCATTATATCTAGTAAGATGAGACAGAGTATAAACGTTTAATGCTTTTTATCAATGCTTTTGACTTTTGTTTTCATTTTAATATATCAGAAATAGCAACAGAGCAACTCCCACAATGTCTATATATAATGATGTATAATACTGATAGCACAGAATGAAAATATTTTATCACATGAAGTGCTGCGTATAGCTTCATCATGTGATTTCAATGTAATCTATGTGCTATATTTATATCTGAAGAGTTGTATTTAGTTGTAAAATTTATCTAAAGATTTGTTATTAATTGTTAAGTACTTAAAGTGTGCCTGAGCATGTGAAAATATATATACTAACATCATTACATTCCACTGTAATGTGGGGGGATGTCCTTCTTTTGAAGGGGAGGGGTGTTAATGTGTGATTCAGTATAAATAGTAGTACCCTTTCTTAATTCTTTATGTGCTCTAACTTTTAAAAAATTATTCTCTTTCAACTTATGAATGTTGTTAGTCTACTGATCTGAGGCTATAATTTGTTATTGAACTTTTAGACTGATGAAAATTGAAATGCTTGCAAGTACAGCTGTAAGCAGATGAAAGAAGATGAAAGAGATCTTTTAATTATTATTCACATGCAGCTTTTAATCAGGAAAATGTCACATTCTTTAACTGCAGTTCATCTATAGCCTGCTTTTCCTAAAAATCATCCGTTTCATAGCAACTTTTGCTAATGATGAGCAAGTTCATGGTGGGAAGGGTCTTCACAATTTTATTTTTGTAAACATATTTTCAGAAGACAACCATTCCCTCTCTCCCACTTTCTCATTTATGGCATTAACTTTGTCTGGAACACATGAAAAGTTCCCTTTTTACCCTTGTTTTTCTGAGGCTTGATCTGTTTTTCATGCAGTGGAATAATTTGAACTACATAAACACATATAGATTGACCATTAAGATGTCATCAATTGCTCACTCATGATTTATAAACTGTTTCTAGTGTTGCTTTTAAGGTTTTTTTTAAATCAATTATGACTAAAAACTCAACTTGATGCTAAACACATCCAGCTTAAAACATGCCACATAGGAATAAGCCATATTCGTCAAATTTTTAACAAAAAATACAATAACATGCTGTCAAATATTACTCAAATTATGACTTGGTGTTCAAAAACCCTTTCAATATAAGTTCAAACTTATTTATCTCGAACCTGATGGGGTTGAGAAAAAATTTTGAGATATCCAAGGATTCGGGATATCAATGGTAAAATACTTAAAGAATAAGGGGTTCCAATTTCCAATTTTGACATCCATGGTACATCGACACAAATTTAACTGTATCATAATGTTCCTATTGGCCAAACAATTTTACATCAATGTATCATAAAATACTTAAAGTTTTAAGTGACAAACTTCAGAAATTCTTCAGATGTATGAAGAAAAACAGCACAATCATTATCAACTAATTATAACTTTACAGCATAGGTGCTTGGCTAGCCTAACCACAAGGGGAATTAATTATGATCAAACACACACTTCAACATCTTTCTATGATAATATGTACATTGTACAAATTACATCAGCAAATTCATAATATATAATCATGATAATTAATGTCCATGTCTTTGTAAATATGTTGACGTGATTTGAAATTTTAAAAGAAGGAACAAATGTTTTAAATAATGACGCTTATTCGCTACTGGTTGTATGACGTACTTGAATGAATTAAAATAAACATACATCCTGTAGTCGGGGAATTCGCTTTGATCAGCGAGTCAGGAATTTACAAGACACTTCTCTTCAATTAAGAATGACAGTCTAATGGCTATCACAGTGTGTACCACAGACATGGGGCTCAGTAAATTCACTCCAGAAAATTATATTCAAACTTCTATGTTCAGCACAAAACTGAAAATTCGCCACTACATTCAGCAAGAATGAGTAACCTAGATTCCACCTTAGTCAATGACCTAGCTATATTTAGATTCCATAGTAAAAGAACTGATTTTCATAAAATCTGATGGCAAATTCAACTTACCGTATCGTATCTATGACCTCCGTGGCCCCTTCCTTGCCATCCTGTGAAAAATAAATCACTTTTAATTTATAATAATGATAATTTATTAAACGATTTATCTTTTAACTAGGCACATGGAAGAAAGGAAAATTGAGGACAAATGTGTATTGATCAAACTTGTAAAAGGCACGTACCGAGGACGATATAGGCCATGTGTAAACAACTGGCTCCGCTCCAACTGGACTGTGAAGTCTAAGTTCGTTTTCCATACTTTCCTTTCGCGATTTTCTCTCTCCATTTGACAATCAGAAACTGAAGTTCATCGTTAGAACTTTCCCCATTTCTTTCTTTACCTCCTGACCTAGATCGAGCGTCGGAAGGAAGCCACCAATGAACACGTGAGATGTAAACGTAAAGTTGATTGGCTGTTTCAATGGGAGTGGTAGTGTAAAGTGGGAGCCAGCACGTATGTTATCCGCCACCGCGCGGACTTCAAATAAATATTTTTCATTAATCTAAATTTGTAAATAAACACATAAAAACTGCATGATAGTTTTTTATGTAATTAGCCGACTTAACAAAATTGAATTCACGGAAAGTTAGGATGAGTATCAATACTAACACCTAGCATTCCTAGACAAACTAAATCAAAGGCAAGATCTTTAAATATTAATAATATATTCTTTCCCTCATTATCATGCACCGATTAACAAAAATTACGCTAATGTAAATACTATTGACATATCACGTGACTTTTTCCTTATCATTAAACTGATCATCATTTACTAAAGACTGTTGCATCGTAAAAAGGCTTGTTCAAAAACTTATTTAAAATTTTAAGTGACTATATATGTTCATACTTAAATAAATATATCCTTTTTACATTGTTACAGATTAAAAAAAAAAAAGATTACTTTGTTATTATCGACATCATTATCCCTATTTCATCCATTTCTCTCGTCTATTGTTTCTTTTCCCCACTCTCTTCTTGACGAAAACCTAATATGCAGCCGATTGCAGCACTCTCATACAATGACCTTGTCAGCAAATACAAATTAATTTATCATTGAGTCAAATGCTGACTGACGTTCTTCATACTAATTGTTAGGCCATTCTAAATTTACACACTGAGTTGTCGACGGATTTTTCCGTTATTTCACGATCATGACAAGGAGCATACGGTGGATGTGACCGGTCGATAGGGGGTGCTCACACCTCTATGGCACCTGATCCCATCTCTGATCATTCGGAGGTCCATATTTCATCTGTTTCAAATTTCTACTGTTTGATGGACTTTTTAGCTTGAATACTGTTTGTTATCTAATTTTGTATATAATTCATAATTAAAACATAACTGATATGCTGTTTTATTTTAATTTATGATATTAAAAGTTTTAATAAATTAGCTTTTAAAAGGTTATATGTATATCCAAAAAAAAAATGAATCATTAGTACGACTTAAGAAAAGTCATCTTACGAAATTAAAAGAAAAAAATCCTTATTACGATGTTTCATTTACGACTTTTTTTTCATTTAAAGTTATTACGTAAAAAATGTTAATAACACGTGCGACTTAAAAAAATGATATTGCGACTTATATTTTGGAAACTTATTACATAACGAGAACAAAAAAAAAAAAGAATAATAACATAATTACCGTGTTTGTAAATTTAATATTGAATTACAAATTTTTATTTCGTGGTTTTTATCATTTATCTTGTAAGTTTTTTTTCTCTTAAATTCCTTTGTAAGCTTGGCTGTAACCCAAGGAGCTGCATATTAAAACAATTTGACTAAATCTTCGAATGAACCTGCGCATCTCGAGCACTTGCACTTGGAGGGCTGGACACCCCCTTCATTTTCTTCTCTTTTTTTTTAATCTGGAGTCGATACATCTCTATTTTATGGTAAAGCGGGTATGATTTTTTAAAAACAAAACGTTAATTCTACTTTACTTATTATTTTTATTTTTCATATGAATACATTGTAAACTATTGTGAGCAATCAGCTCACTTAAGATATCCCCGCCTCCCATGTGATTATAAAGGTGAAGTCCAATTAAGTTTTGCTCTGGGAGACCCAAAATAAGTGTCAGATCAAAATGTAAAACATGAGGTCACAATGTCGTTATGTAATAAAGAATCTGTGAAAGTAGCATCAAATTTACATTCAATGCTATAGGAGGAGTAGCGGGTAAGGGATGTAACAAAGATTCTGTGAAAGTCCCATTTAATATTCATTTAGAGGTATAAGAGGACTTGCGAATAAGAGATAGGTACTCCAAAGCGTAACAGACGGACGTACCGATTGGCGGACGTACATACAGACGGACGGACATCCCGATCACTATATACACACTGTACTCTCCCACTTTTCAAGCGTGGGGTATAATTATACTAGAAGAAAAATTTATGAAAAACAGGCCATCTTTAAAAAATGTTTGCTAGCTTGCTCTCTCCAGACTCAGGGCAAAATTATTGAGTCGGTAGGTAGGCGGGATTTTTTTTCAAAAAATTTCAACATAATTGTTGAAGTGATAAGAGGAATAAAAAGAAATAAATATGGTGTCCTAGAATGTAGAAAAAAAAGTTTTTAGTCGGTCCATTTTTAGTCGGTCGGGAAAAGGCAACCAAACAATTTTTTTTTCAAAGATGGGTCTGTTTTCTTTTTTTCTTTTCCTGTCCTCTTTTTTTTGTGGAGCGGGAGGTGGGGGTGGTCCTGTCCACGAGTACTTGTGCAGTGGTCCTCACTAGAAGATCAATTTGAAATTATTCCAGCGCATTTCTCTCAACCTAAAAGAAGGTTCTCCATTTGTAAAAAAAAAAAAAAAAAAAAAAAAAATAAAAACTAAAAAAAAGTATCCCAGAAGGAAGGATCAAGGTCACGACAAATTTCAATTCGTAAGTTATATCTTAACAAAGTATAACCTTTCATTGTTTCTTCTTTAGACAATTATTTTATAAACTGGACATGATCTACAAACTTTTTTCTGCCACCGATCTTTTAAAACTTAAAACTTGCGCTAATGACCTTCGTCAGGTCATTCGTGTCAATTAGGAGACTGCATTTTCCTTACATTATATGGCATTGACAGGACAGGAATAACATATATTTTCTGCAGAACTGTTGAACTTGTGGCAATCGCTTTAGGTCAAGGTCATGCATCACCTTCCGGCCATTTGTAATCTTTTTATAAAGTCTGAACTTCCAAAGATTCTCAATTAGTAAGTTTTGTTTTGGTTCAATCAGGTTCATTACGAATTATATTTTCAATTCTCCATGCAGTGATCTTGGACTTAACACAGGGTCAAGGATATGAGACACTCTCGGGATATAACATTTCTTCACGTCAAATGAACACCAAATGTTGCAGCACTGCGAGGGTTTTCATCCTTTACAGTTACGTGTATATTATTTGTGAAATGACCTTCCATTGGTTACCAACAACTTTTGACCTTAACCTTGAAATTTGACCAACTTTAAAATACTGTAACCTCTGCTTTAACTTCATGAACAGTCAGCACTTGAATAATTTTTAATTATTTGAAGACACCATCAATTCGTCTGCATGATGCACTCAGTCATTCCACTAATTCAGTTCAATTCAATTCATTTCTTTATTGGCACTAAAGCACATATTTATATACAGAATGTGTTGTTAGCCATATATTACAAAATATTAAACTATTGTAAGCTTGTTTCTAATATCAAAAGAGTCTCTAATATATAGACAGATTTATTTTGTAGATACAAAGTTATGTGGATTAAGCAAACAAGATAAGGTATTAACATCTAGTAACCTTGAGTACTTATTTCTGACATTTTTATACAAAGGACAATCAATCATGCATGAAGTAAAGTGTTTTTCATCTTCAACAATAGTTTTACATTGTAAACAAAATCTATTTTCCCTAGGAATGACAGGATTACAATATCTACCTGTTTCTACGAGGGGTGGTCAAAAAGTTCGCGAACTATCTCTTTATCTATAAAACCACAATTCAGATTGGAATGAAATTCGGTACACACATAGCGGTCTATAAATAGCATATGCTAGTTTTTCTCCTTGTTTGTGACGTCACAATGTGAAAATGACGTCACTATATAGGTCACTTGTGACGAAAAAATGGTTGTCTCAGTCGAACTCGACCAACAAACGACTGTACAATTTATTGTATATCTTAGAAATCCCTCTACAGTATCATATAATAAACTGCAGTTTATTAAGATAAATAAGTTCCTATAAATTCAATTAATGATTTAATAATATATTCAATGCACAATGTTACATGAAGGAAAACCTTATTATTGACATTATCAATCCTACAAGTATTAGAACTGAAAAATAGGAGAGTTTGTAACTTTTTGAAAAAGTGCTTTGATATTAGGAAAGAAAACCTACAACAAACCTGATATGCTTTCTTTGATATTTTATTTTATGTATGTTAATTGTTGTATTCATGAAGTCCTATAGATGCCAATGTATGATGGTGTTGTCAATAAAATGAATTGAATTGAAAATGATTGGATTGATCATTTTCGTGAAGGAAGGCAGATGGTTAAAAATGATACTTGTCATCTAGCCCAGTGAAAACAAGTTTGAAAAGATATGTGTTTTTAATTAAGCAATTTGCTATCAAAGACCTCCAATTTACACTTTGAAAAATAGTTGAATATTTGAACAATAATATAATTATTAAATACCTAAGATATCTTTTACTTTAGATTTTTAAACATATTAGATATGATAAAAAGGAGGCACCCATTCTCTATCCACCTTGATTAAAGGTCTCTCCGGCTCGAGACAGAAGATTTGTGTTTTGATATGGTCGCCATGCTTATTTTTGGAAAGGATATTCTTTTCCACCCATTCTGTTTCCGAGATTTGACCATTTCTGACAAATCAACTGTTCTTGTCATAAAAATTAACCCACATGGAAAGAAATATAAAACTCAGAAAAATCTTTCAACTTTTGTGACAGAACGCTACGGAGAGGGTCATGTGACCGCCAATATCACGTGATTCGCGCATGCGCAGAACGGTGGTTGATGTGCATTCAAATCAGAGAGAAATATATAAAAGTTATTCAATTAGTTCGCGAACTTTTTGATCTCCTCTCGTACATACAACTTATGTGCACTTATTCTTAACTTGGAAAGATAAGAAAATATTAAAGGTATATTAAAGGTATCTTTTATTCAAATGATTATAATGCTTTCTGATTTTGAGTTAATGCGCGAAGACAAATGAGTCAGTTTTAATTTATACTATTAGTTTTGATGAATTGATGCGTGCAATAATTTAATTATTTCTACCTTCACCGGAATTAATGTGTGCATCAAATCAATTCAGAAAAAAGAATTTTATTTCTCTTTTTTCAAAACGAATTTATTTCATTGTTTCAACAAACAAGCTTAGAATTTCGTTATGTTATGAATTCGCTCGGTAATCATGGCAAATAGAAATATAATTGAAATGACTACTTAGAAGACTTTATTTTTACCTAGAAATTCAAGGAGCATCCGAGGGTACAAAAATGCCCCTTGGTCCACATTGGGCTCAGTTTGTATGAGCATATAGACGGCCCTGGATCTCAGCCATCAATTTCATTATTGTGCGCAATATGTTGAATTAAAATAATACCGCCAAAAAATAACATATGGTTAATCAATGCCATTAGACCTCTCTTGATTTTTCCTGATATAAAAATTAGATCGCTAAATGTTAATAATTCCCCCAAAAATCGCAGTGAATGGACTAATCCTTTCATCTTGTCAAATGAGGTAACCCCTGCTTCGGAAACTAATTTTTGGTTATCCGTAATTACGTTAGGAATCTACTAATTAACATAGTCTTTAATTAGCGCACCTGAGTATTATTATCATCTATGCCCATGTGATAAAACTGCACGAAATTAAGGCGCAATAAGTAATATTATGATTACCATGCACTCAGTAAGCACGTTTATCTATAGTATGAGCTTATGTGAATTTTGCGCTCTATTTTTTGTCAACATATAAAAAAGTAATTGGCTTTTTTGCAACAGTTTTACTTTCAATCATATTTCATGTCTGCTCTCTCTGTCTGAAGATAAATCAGTGAAATTCAGATGAGAAGGCTATGACCAAAAAATTAAAACTACAAGGAAAGTCAGGGAATTTTCCTCCTCAACCTTGGTAATTAAGAAATCTCGTAAAAACTTTGAGCGTATACCTGTCGCGGGTTATAACGTATTACTCATTTTGTCTTTCACTTTTAGAGAGTAAATTTCAAAACAGCTTTTCGTTACTCATTCTAATGAATAAACTTTTTTGTATGTAAAAAATATGAGCGGCCAAGAAATTGCCTCTTAAACAATATTTTACAATATAATCACTTGGCAATAGTCAACTCCCATCTTTTATTATTTGGAAATGATTCATTGTCAGTATGTGAATAACAAAATATTTCACTGTGTCCAAAGCGTGATTCACGTTTTTCTTCTGTTTCTTTGTCATATAACGTATTACTCATTTTACTTGTGATCATGTTTATTATTTATTATCTTTTGTCATATATATATATTTTTTCCAAATAACTGATAATTGAGTAAATTTATATTGTAAGAACAAAACAGCTTTATTTTGTATTTATCATGTATATGTATAACTTTACATTCTAATGATATATTAACTTTTTTAAGGATCATTAATTCAAATAAAAATTGAAACATATATTAATGTTTCGGCTTAACAGCAAAACTAAGGAAAGTGGTCGGGTTTTCTTTGAGACCCCCCCCCCCCCCCGTTCCCTTTAATGGGAAACATCCCTGAGTTCATCTTAGTCTCATATGTTTTGAAACTGTTTTCCTTTTCTCTCTTGTACATATTATTTAGAAAAAAAATTGATGAATTGATTAATATATAATAAACGGATTTCGCCCCCGTATTGAGCAAAAAATGGAATCAAGTCTTGTCCGACTTATCCATGACATATGTACTTCCGGTATTGGGTATTGCATGTGTGAAAAGAGTACCGAAAATATGCCCAGCGGAGACACCGAAAAGGCGGACGAGTTAAATGAAAAGCTTGATGCTTTTGCCAGAGATTTGAAGCAGGGGTAATTTACCAACTTTAGGAATATGAGACAATGTCAGATAATTCAGATTAAGACGACTGAATCTTATGTAACTGTTAGATCATTGAATTTCAAGAGTCAAACTTATTCTTTCAAATCCGTGATATATGTAGGTCAAGAGTGTACTCAGGGGCTAGCTTCAGATCTGTAGCTTGCTGGTCTTCATAAATAGGGATGCACAACATGAGAGAGCTAGACTAAGTGGTATTCTCTTTAGAGAAGTTGATAGGCTTTCACCTACATCCACCTCTCTTCGCAGGCCTTCATGTTGTTATTCTGGAAAACTTATAATTGTAGAACCGGAGACGGCCTACACTTCAAGTTCAAGTTCATTTTATTCACCCAAACCATGATTGGTACATGGGGTTCAAATAACATATATACAAAATATATACAACCTGGTCAGAGGTACATAATTTCTATATAACAAAAAGGTAAAATTTAAATAAAGGAGGAAAGAGTTCCATAAAATGAGAAGGAAAATATATCAAGTAGGAGAGACAGCATCGTAAATTTTTAAAATAAACATGCATAACTGTTTTAACATTTTCTCACTTTCGGTTGACATTAATTCCATAAATTTGATAACATTTGGTCTGTGTGAATAATAATAACCCAGGTAATTTTTTCTAATATTAGCTAAGGTTTTACATTCTAATAGATAATGAAATTCATCAGCAGTTTGAGTACTGTTACAAAGTTTACATACTGTAAATCACTTTTTATTCGCGAGAACTTTATTTTGGCGTAATTACGCGAAACAAAAATCTCGCGAAAATTTAATTCTCGTGTATATTAGTATTCCTTTAGATTATATAGAGCAAAAACCTCAATTCGCGAAAATTTTGTCTCGCTAATCAAGAGCCAATGACTATCTCGCAAAAATAAGGTGTCGCGAAAATTTAGTGATCTACAGTATTCTATCACACAGTGGTATACCATGCCATCTTCCAGTCTCTAACGGTAAATGATGATTTGCAGTACGAAATTTTATAAATGTTTTTCTAAATTTAGGAGATAACTTATCCATATAATGTTCTAATCCAAAGTTTTGTTTAAATATTTTGTAGATCTGTCCTTTTGAAGAGTTATTTACGTCACTAGACCACTTTTGAATAAACTGATCTTGTAAGATTTGTTTCACAGTGGCATGTATCCATTTACAATTCATATTGACAGCCTGTTCGTACCATATATTTGATAAACCACACATATTACATATTTTCTGTATACAATCTAAATTCTAACCATGGGTTTGTTAAGTTTCCATCACAATACTGTTTAAACATATGCTTATATAAAACATTGTTGGGCCAGAAAAAAGCTTTGCCCAATAAGAAATCATTCTACAATACACTGAGATATACAAAGGAAAGCGACCTGTTTCACCATAGACCATGTACAATGGCGTGGAACTTTTCAAATTAAATACATACTTTAAAAACTTCAGATGCAAACGCTCAATAATATCAAGATTTTCATAGCCCCAAATTTCAGAACCATATAGTAAGACCAGTACTACAACTCCATCAAAAAGATCAAATTGATAGTCAATTGGTAACTTAAATTGCCTAATTTTTCTTATAATGCCATACATTGCTTTTTGTGCTTGATCGTATAAATGTTTTTTTGTTCAACTAACATTTCATCTGATATATGTCTGATTATACGTAACAGATGTGTTAAATAAACAATTTCAACATAAATACACACTGTCACAAGAAAACAAACTATAATACAAGAAAAAATACCCAAAAAGTGCAAAAAAGAAAGGTCAAAGGATTTTAAAATGCATGGATCTTTAACTCTCTGGTTTGTCTGTCCAAATTTTCTCATGCAGTTATAATTTAAGAGTTTCAGTTTAGCACTTAAAAGTCAACATACACAGATTCCTTCATTATGCAACCAATTAAAAGTAGTCATACTGGGCACTAGGTGTAGGTAACATTGCTTTTTCTTTCAAATTAAAAGGTTTAAAGCCCCTTTTAATGCAAAATTTTTCTATTGTGAAGATTTTTCTATCCTATATTTCTGTTGTTCGTGTTTAAAATTGGTTGCTCAAAGAGGAAAATTCACCAATTTGATGTTAAAGATAGAGGCAAATAGGAATGACAAGGGAGGAAAATACATCAAACCAAAAATTATATTTATTACAAAAATGTGCTGTTTCTTGATTCATTTCTCTATATTTTTAAGCTGCCGTCTTAAACTATTACATACCATTTTTTACTAACAAACCGTGAAAGTGGAAATTTTAGCGAGACACAAATTTAGCAATTTCTACCTAAAATCTGGTATTTTGTTTTTAGCGAGAAGTAATTTTAGTGATTTTAAAATGCTAACTAAAGAAGCTATTACAAGTAATACGCAATTAATTTTTAGCGATATTCAATTTTAATTATGTCAACACCCTTGCTAATAATGCCAAAATTAAATCCTCACTAAAAATTCTACTTATACGGTATTCTTTTCCTAATTCCATAATAAAACATTCCCTCGTTATAAGCTCTTCTTGGCCTGATATTTAGACCATAAAAACTTTCACCTATTTATTCTGCCATTTTGGATGACAAGACAGTTCAGTCCAATGCACTTTGTACATGATGTGTACAGTAGTTTTGAAGCTGAAGTAGAAAAAGAACACAGAGCTTCTAATATTTTGATTTATATGGGAAGGAGGTAAAAAGAAATCCTGCACTTTTTGTGAACAATAAATATACATGTTTTTCAGAGGGTGGCACTAAAGCTCTCTGGTTGTCCATTCCAATTTCTTAGACCAGCAAGCTACAGATCTTAGGAGGGTCTTGCTCCTGGTTAATTATAACACTTAAATTTACAATTAATTACTCTACAAGTGACAAGTTGATTTAGTTATGATTCTTTTTGGGGGGAGTCGAGTGAAGATCAAAAGCCATTTATGGAATAATTTCTTTTTACTGTAATAGAATCTTTTTCTTTGATCTTAGACTATATTTGATTGTTTTGCACATTGCAGGTCAATAGAGGGATCTTATAATGTAGCATACAGAACAGTTTCTTTGCTGCGCATAGTGATAGCCCAGTCCAAATGCACCTCAGCAAAGTAAGTTATACAGACTTTTCTCAATTTCTATTTTGATAAGTACTAAGTAGGCTATAATAAATACCTCGGTAAAGAAAAAAAATGTACCAAATCGTAATAACTGTATTTATTAGTGTTGGCATAAAAACAACAAATATCGGTTCTTTCGGTTACTCGGAAAAATAAATTCTAGTAAAGGCATAGAAAATGCTAACTTACACATTTCCCTAATTTTAGGTAATATCTAGTGCATGGTTGTATATATAATTGATATATACATATTTTGAAGGCATGAGTTATAATTACCTCATTTGATAATTTAACGAGATGCCGCCGCAGACATAATAAGCTTGGAGTTGTATGATGTTAAATCACCTAAGCTTAAAATATAAACCAGCGATTTACTGGACACTCCACATATTACATACATGTATGTAACTATTAATTATGGAGTATGTAAATAATTATTCTACTTGATTGCGACATATTTCGGGGTCTGAAAAAGAAAGAGTAAAATGATGATTGATTATGATGTATTTGTTTGCCTTCTTCGTGTGTCGAATTCCCTATTAATTTTCTTTATTTTAAAATCGTAAATATATGGCGATATCGTATGTGTGTATTGTAAATATAATGTCCCTATACAGTATATTTGTGCATTACTACTACCGATAAGTATAGAATAAGATAAATAATAGATATTGATACTTTTACCAAAAATCATCCGAGTAACCGGGTACTCGATCGGAAGATGAAGCGAGTAACCGGTTACTAAAAATCGTCCGATTTGCCAACACTAGTATTTATAAAACAACATTCTTTAAAAGAGTGTGCAGAGTTTAATGTAATATGATTGTATATATTAGGAGTAAGCTATATAAATCTAAACCCTTTTAGAGTATTTTGGAATAAAAATTCACCAAGTGTTGGCTTGTTCACTTACTAATTGGGAATATGTGCTGGGTTTAGACAGTTCTGAGACAGGAAAGTTAAACATTCTAAGAAATGTGAGAGAAAAAATGATTCATTCTTCTTATTTGTATCCCTGTAGAGATGTCATGGCAAATGTGATAAAGGAAGGAAAGAGGTTGATGGCTGCTCAGCTTACGGAGACAGCTGTAGGAAATATGGTGAGAAGAGTGCTCAAAATTATCAGAGAGGAATATGCAAGGTAAGTCAATACTGTTTCTAAAAGAATTCCAGATTAAACATAGTATAAAATTATATACTGTATACAGGGAAAATTTCGCCCCTGTTATATTTTTTCCCCTTTCGCCCTTTAAACAGATGGGGTGAATTTAAAAAGGGGCGAATTAAAAGAACACAGTATGATTTCTTAAACAAAACTGTGACTGGGCAAATTCAAAATGGGGCCAAATTGTTGCAAGTGTGAAAGAGGGATAATAACATGGGGCGAATATAACCCTGTATACAGTATTTTAAATGGATTTATTTTCTTTCTATAAAACCTTAATGATTCTTGATGAATAAAGAATGAGAACTGATGTCATGCTCTTCTTCCCTTGATTTCAGTGCACTACGAGGAAAATCAGAGGAGGGCGATCCCAAAGAATCTCTACATGTAGGTTTTTTTTGTGGAAATATTGTGATCTATGAATCACTTTTGGTGGATAAAAGATTTACTTTATATCATTTAAACTTTCATATCATTTAAATATTTCTCGCCGCGACTATATTAAAAACAGTTCCTGACATCGTGAAAATTTATCACAACTATTTTACTCCTGGTAAATCGCGAAATAAAGTCGTCGCGAATAAAAGTTGGTTTACAGTATATTGCCTACATCTGACACAATGACTTGCGTCAAGAAATATATCCATCTGCCTGACTTAACATTGAAGTTGTGCACATTTTGAAGTCATTTTTAGGGCAATCATCTTATTTTCTTGTACTTAGTGTTTGGAATTCAATGTTAAGGTATGAATTTAATAGCAACCCAATATATACGGTAAACACTTTGCCGTTTATAAAGTGTACACTGTCCCAACCCAGTTTAAACCATATAAATTGGGTCGCTATTAAATTTACTCCTTAAATAAAATGTTTAGATTTTAACTGCTTGAGCTTGTTACAATAAAGCTGCTCTATGTGAGTTTTTTTTTTCTGAAGAAGATTCTAAAAAGTCCCTGTAGATTATTCTGTAAGCAGTTCCTTGTTGGTTACCAATTTTTTCATCATTAAAGACATTCTTAATTTAAAATTGGCTCTTCTTAATTTTTGGACCAATTATGTTTTTAAAAACATTATTTGTTGTTAAAATCTATGTAATGAACTATTGAAAGTAAAATTAGAGATAAGTTTTTGACTCTTGTTTTTATTAAACTTTCTTTTTTGCAGAAAATGCTGTTGGCTGGGGGTGAGATTGATGACTTCAGTCAACCTGTACCAAACCTCAAGGTAACACCATAGCACTGAATTCTGTAATGTCTGGCCATGATTTCTCGGCTGTTTGCTTGTAGGGAATTTCGTTGCTTTTCAGCAATATAAAATATCATCAGTGTTAAACATTTGACCAGTATATATGTATAAGTCTGAAGATATAAGTCTTAGATATTTGAATATCACAAATATAAAATATATATAAAAGTGCATTGAATTTTTAAAAAATTTTCCCAATTTTTACAGACAATTCTTTCACATTGCAGGCCTCAGTTTTAGATGCAATAAGTGAACTAATAATAGAACTGGAGATCAGGTAAGTGATGTAATTTTAAATGATTGCCAGGAGGAATGATGCAGGTATAAGTTTTTTCTGCTAAAATATATTTCTCATCATAGAATCAAAAAAGAAGAGAAATTGTCATTAGTTAAGTCTAACTTGCAGTTAAAAGACCACATTTCTTAGTCAGTAGACAAACAGTCAGATTCAAGCCAGATCCAAGTAAAATTGTGGGGACTGGCTTCAGTTAGACTGAGTAGAAAGAACACTATATTTTGATGTTTATTTCTTTAGAATTTGATGCATATTTCCAGAAAGTTAGAAAAGGGAGATGACTCTGTGCTTTTAAATGTTTTACATGCTGTATGCTTTGTGTATAATTTTTAACAGCAGGAAAATCAAGAACAGTGGAAGCATTCTTAAAGGTATGATTACTTATTTTACCACTGTAAACTAGCTTTTATTGGCATGAGATGAATATCTGCAGGTGTCAGGACCTTCAAGTTACAAATATATTTAAAATCACTATGACCCATTTATTTTGCTGTGTATTCTCAGATAAAGTTTCCTAGGTCATGGACTTTAATTTTCATGGATTGATTTGAATTTGATGAATTGCAAATAAATGATGACGGAAATAATATTTGGTTAACAGTATCCCCTTTTACCAGGAAAACATTTGTAGCTTGGCTTTAAGCAGCAGAATTACATTTACATACAGTTTTACAAGGCAAATAGAAAAATTTCTGTTATAGTTGATTTAAATAATTCTACATTTCATCTGAATTATAGAAAGCAGCAAAGAAAAGAAAGTTTCAAGTAATTGTGGTTGAATGTGCTCCATTTTTCCATGTAAGTATAATGTGAAACTCTGATTTACTGTATAAAATCTTGCCTATATATAATTTGATACAAAAATTTAGTTACTGAATAAGAAAATGAAATAAATAAAATGTTAATTAAATTTCTGTAATAAAGAATTTCATCATAATGTTATATGTATTATAATAGAGTTGTGGGTGGGGCAAGGAAAAGAGGGGGATCAAATATTTTAGTGTTTCATGAAATCATGATTGTACATTGTACATGTAAACAAGCTGGATTTTTCAGAGTATTGTTATTTACTTTTGGATTTTAATAAAATACACAGTTTTGTCAGAGATAATCATGTAATTGCAATAAACAAGACTTTCTTTCGAATATTGGTGAACAGACAATTAGGAAAAGTAAAATCGAGATGTTTTATGATTTTTTTTTTTTTGATGTTTCATGAATTTTTCTTCTATTCTTGTTTTTTATTTACCTACTATTTAAAGGAGGGCATACATGTATTTAGTATGGAGGATATAATTTTCGCATTCATTATATCATACTATTTAAAGTCATATCCATACTATTTAAAGTCATATCCACATAATGAAAATATCTGAGGTATAAAACATCTTTTTGTAGGGTCAGAAACTAGCTGTGAGTCTGGCCCGAGCTAACATAGAGACCACTGTTATTAATGATTCTGCTGTCTTTGCTATTATGTCCAGAGTAAATAAGGTTATTATAGGAACTCACACAGTGATGGCAAATGGAGGGTAAGCTAACACAAGCAATATTTTAGAAATCAAGCATGATTGTCAAACCATTTAGAGAATAGTATGGTAAAGCCGATTGATTACTAAAATAAAGTCATCTGAGAATATGGTAATGAGTTTTAGTTATGTATAATATACCTGGTACATTAACAGAAGAAAGTTATAAATTTTCAACCCATTCATGCACCTGTTTTGAAGTTATATGTTAATCTCCTATATTATTGAAATCATAACTTGAATTAATTGTGGCTAGAACCTGGTACTGGAAGTGCAATGTAATAACATATATTGGTTGTTAACTATGTTGTAAAGGGTGTTAAGAAAGTTCATTCCATATTTTTCTTTCATTTTTGAAAAGAAATACAATGAGAGGATGTTCAAGATTTGTGATATTCCATATTCGCAAAGTCCATTGTTGCTACTGGTCAAGTTTTAATTGTATTTTGTTGAAACGAAAAATGGGAGGGTAGGTATTGAAACAGATGATATATCTGTGCAGAAAATCAACATCTTCGCTAGCCAAGGGTTTCTGATACGCTACTCTCCTCATAATCCCTTGGCATACGGTCTTGATAGAAGTTGGGTTTTTTTCTCGGTCCACCCGGTCGACCAATCAGCAATTGTTTTTTTGTAAATGACGATATTTGCGTTCGGGATACTTCTTGACTCTTTAATCTCGAAAATGAAAAGTGCAAGTAAACAACTGTGCATACCTGAGATTCAAGATCACGTGACGGAAAACAATCCCGTCTTTTTACTTCACCGTATGCCAAGGGTTCATGAGGAGAGTAGTGTATCAGAAACCCTTGGCTAGTTAAGATTAAAATCAAGGGATGCAGCATATTTATGAACTATCTTAAACACACCTGTCAACATATCCTTTCAATTATCGATGCAAAATTGATCAAATCAGTATAGAATTCCATTATGACAAGCCTATTCTTTTGCAAAATGACTAATTTTTCTTTTACCTTTTGCTCAACAGTTTTTATGATGATAAAGATAAGCCGTGAAGAAACAAAAGCAAATAACTTCTATATTTTCAAACAAAATGAACAGCATTTCTGTCATTTTGTGTGTTTTAGGGATGTTTATTACTTTTTCATATGGGAAAAATACTGAAAATTCCTGCTAGAAATTAATTGCTATAAATCACACCCCTTATATTTTTTTTTTCAGATTAAAAGCCGTAAATGGATCTCATGCTATAGCCCTAGCTGCCAAGCACTATTCAGTACCTGTAAGTCTACATCTGCAGTTAGTTTTAAATATTATTAATAGAGAAAATAACAAACTTAAAACTTTAATAAAATGTTTGCTCTTATTTATTTTTTTAGCTTTTGGTTTGTGCAGCCATGTTTAAATTATCACCACAGTATTTGTGTTCATATGACCAGGTAAGAAAGATAACAGAAAGGACAATTTAAAAAAAATTAACTACGAGAAAAGAAAGAAAAAGTTCTGTAGTGCTAATGCATTTAAAATATTAAGAATAATCTCCCTTAAAAATTTTTCTTTTAATTACAGGATGCTTTTAACAAGTTTGTGAGTCCTAAGGATGTGATGAATTTTGAGGAGGGGGAGATAGCATCTAAAGTCCAGATAGACAACCCTGTGTTTGATTATGTTCCACCAGAACTTGTCACACTTTATGTATCTAACATGTAAGTCAAACCACAGAAATACTTATTTTTCACATTAATTACCCTGCCTCATACATACATGTAACTTGAGGAAAAGATGTTTTCTTCATGCATTCAAAAGGTCGAGATATTTTTCCACATTTCTCAACATATGAGAAGATGAATCTCTGGCAACAAATGTGCTGATACTATTAAATGTACAATGAAATCATATAAGATTTTGCAGTATCAATTATAAAAAATTATCCATTATGGGTCAAATATGATGGTCAGATTAAAACTGTGGTCATGCATTACAGTATACGTGATATGTAAACATTTCCAACAGCCGCTGTTGTTAGGATTCTCTACTTCATCTAAGTGTATCGCACATACAAGTACATGTATAAATTTTTGTTGTCAAAACTTTAGAACTAGTTAACGTAATTCAATGTTTTTTTTTCAGTGGTGGAAATGCCCCATCTTATGTGTACAGACTTTTAAGTGAATTTTATCACCCAGATGACCATGAACTTTGATCCCCTGGCATCGGTGTTACTGCTGGTGAAAGAGATAAAGTTTTCCAGATGCTGATTCAAACAAAGCAGTCTGTATTTTAGTCAACTTTTTTTGGTTTCATCAGAAAGGAAATAGCTAAAATAAACTTCATAAAAAAAGTTTAGAATATTGACCATTCATAGCAGAATGTGCTTTCTCTGACCTCTATTGTGTTGTTGAACTTTGGTGCATTTTTGCAAGAAAAAAACAACTCTTCCAATCTATTCTGAAAAATAAAATAAGGTCTCTTTTCACAAGTTTTAGATTTGTGAAAATAATAATGCTTCTGATTATTATTGTTTAGTATTTGTTATTTTTATTGAAAAATGTTATGTATTTACATATTCAAATAACAAAATAAAGCAAACACCAGAAATAATGTGTAAATTATTTATTTTTTTCAAAGTCTGTATAAAATTCATGAAATAAAATAGCTATCAAAAGACAGGAATGTTGTTATATGATTTGAGAAAGAAATTTTTGTGTTATCAACAGCACTATGATTAATTAATAATCAACACCACAAAAAGACAAAAACCTCAAAACCTTAATTAAGTAAGTAACAAACTACAGTCATATATACACACACTAATATAGAAAATAATCTGTGCTCAGCATCTGGTTTAATAGGAACTCATATCACATATACATGGACTAAATTTTCAAATTTCTGGGTGGTTTTTGTTTTTGTTAATGGTTCATATATTTAAATTGAGACATGTCAAAAACAGTAATAAAATTCAAGAATGTTAATTTATTTTTCACCCAGTGGGTCTATTACATTCACTTGAAATGGAAAAAGAAAATCACTGAAGGTATAAATTATTAATGCATTTTGATAAATTCTGATTTTCGATTAAACTTTTATATAAATCCTTTTATCAACATTTTTCACATGAACTCTTTAATGTACTCACTAGAACTGTACTGATATGTTTTTATTTATGTGGAATATCGTATTAAACCATTGCACCGAACACATTAACAAATAAATAGAATCCAATATTGTATTGCTTTGTTTCATTGTGTATACATGACTGTATACATATATAACTAGGGAGGAAAACACACTAATAAATTGAAAATGAAATATTGCAAGATTCATAAAAATATGACTGAGGTTTAAGAATGAAGATGAGAGATAAATTCAGATCAAGAGGGTATAGTTTTGGAATATCATTAGGTTCATGTTGATTATGGAAGTGTGTATGCCTCAGTGTGACATATATAAATCATGAATTTTAATACCAAATCAGTAATATATATCACTAAAACTTTTATTTTAAATAAAGAGCAGCATTTCAGCTTGGACATCTTTTGTCATCTTTTGTCATTGATTTAAAAAAAAAACAAAATAATTTATAGGAGAAAAGGAACAATTAATTTATTGAAAATTAAATTTTAGGCAAGTACAGTGTACCATGTACTTGTATAATAATCTTTCAAATGTTTGATGACCAAAAAAAAATTGCCAATTGACAAATCTTTGACAAAAAAGTCCAAGCCAAATTGCTAGAGAACTGAGTAAAACTTTGAACCAAAAGAACACACACACAAATCATGAATTGTTATGGAGGGAAGTATCTTGAACACAACCATATTTAAAATGCATTCACAAATATAACAATATTCCATTAAATTTAGTTTATCACAGTCTTCAACAACTACCATCACACAAAAAACAAACTTTCAAAAATCTCAACTTTTTTCAGTAAAACCCTGTTGTTTTTTTTTCAATTATGTGATGAAACAAAGAATGATGATACAGTAAACAAAAGGGGATTTCAAAAGAATCTATTTGGATTTCTAACAAGACTTAATACTATCAACTATCAAACTTCATAAAGAAATCAAGAACATTAAAACCATATACTTGCAAAACTGATAAAAGTTTCAAGAAAAAGGAAAACAAGAAAAATGTTCTCTATAGATATGTATCACTACTGACAGTCTTAAAATTGAACTGTATATGAATATACAAGTGGCCATTTAATTCATTTATCATTCTAAATTTTGTTATAAACTCTATGAACATAATTAGTAGCAACGCATATATTTTGATCTTTTTGCTAAGTATATAAACTTATACATTCAAATACATGTATACATAAAAAAAATCCACAGTTAATTCTTTACAGTCATTAACAAATACCCAGTATTTTCATTTTAAAAGCCGCAGAAATGTGTATTTTAAGTTGAATTCTGTTTGTTGATCATGTAGTTTTTTTTAGACATTAAAAACCCTTAAAATTCAATAAATTTCAGCAAAAATATAAAAGCATTCACACATATTAAAGAAATTGCACACTCACACTTATAATAAATGGTTAGTGAAGCATTGGAAATATTTACAATTATAAGCATTGAATATAACAAATCTACATATAATATATATTTGGTAATTTTCTTTGTCACATAATAATATTTTCTAAGTATTTTTTTTCTATTTGGACAAGTATATCACAAGTCTTTGATCAAATTTGATCAAAGGAGGTGATGTGTTTGTTAAAACTGTGTCAGTGTCAAATTCCCCTACTTTAAATGACAAATGTTATGTCAGGAGTAAAATTCACTCATATCAATGCTCATTTTCTCCTCAAGCATATATGACAGTTAAATTGATGATGGAATGATGATACAATGTTTTGGACGGCAGTTAATATTCTTTGTTTGTTCTCATCGGATAATGACATCGTTATATCTAACACACACATATAACACAATTCAATTAAAAAAATAATAAATGCAAAAAAGAATGGTTCGGATTTCTGGTATATACTGTTTGGACAAAAATTATCCGCATTGGTTATATACTTTGATTGTATGCATATATGTATTTAACATGCAGGATATATAATACTAAAGAGAAGGCACGCTGCTAATTGCATAGAATGATTAATGATTAAATACTTTTATTTACAACACTGATGACTTGGTAATAATTTTAAATCTAGACTTGTTAATTATGTCAAAAAAAGTTATTTTTCTTTTGGATATACAATTAAAGTTTTGCATAATTGTGAGATTAATGTATTTCCAGAGTCAGCTACCATAAAAATATGTCTACAAATCTTAAACTCTTTTTAATTTGGAAATAAAATTAGATTTTGTTTAGCTATAGAATATTTTACTCTAATAATTCTATTAACACTCAATCACAGTTTGAGATTGTCACATAGATATATTTAATTAACTGTTTGTTCCTCAAACAGAATTTCAAAATTAGTTTCTTGCATAGCATAGTTTTCTAAAAAAAACTATGTTTTCTATTAGCAGTGACTAATGCAAGACTACATCTTGCACATAAGTGGAGCTTTGGGTTGGCTATAAGCAGTAACAAAAATATTCATAACAAACGATTTAACAACTGTATGAATGGAATTCATCTGCAAGGAATGCATAGAAAGTGGGATCCTTGTGCACGAATTGATAGGAATGAGTTCAAAGGGACTAATGGTTAAATATAAAAATATTCATATATATGTATATATATGCCATGATAATAATAAAAAAATAAAAGTGAAAAAATATCAGTATCCTTACTCACAAAATCACTCTAATTGAGATAAAAATAAATTGTCTTTGAGTACTTTGTTGGGATATTTTTCTGAGCGGACGCCATTATAAATCGGCATGGGACAGTTCCACCAGTGCGAGGGCCGAGATCCATTTGTCTGTCTGTTGACTGAGGGTCATTTCCCCGATGTCTTCGCTATTTGGGTCCAATTTGACGTTGGACACGGGTTGAAGTTCCGTGACCGTGTACTCGTGGTTATATGGCTCGGGATTGTTGTAAAGTTCCACTTGCGGAATATTATCCTTATGGTCCATGTGATAGTCATGTGCCACGGGGTATTGCATCTCATATTCGTTCCTCACGGGCTGCATGCTATAGTTATTATGATAGTGGGTATAGTCATTGTAATACAAAGGCATCTTATAGTCAATAATTGGTGGATTGTATGCTGAGTGATCCACGGTCATTGGGTCGAACTTGATTTCCTCTTTAATGGGGGTGTGATAAATAGTGTTATTGTTGTTATTTAGTGGCTGAATGTTCTCGTTTGTGATGGGGGCCGTGTATTTCGGCTCAGGGTCTTCCACTTTTATTTTTTGCTCGGGTTGAGATTCTTCCGCTGGTGATCCATCACTCGGTCTTTTCAGAGGTTTGCGATTTTTATTTCGGTGTCCAGAACGATCCTGGCGTGATATGATTTGGCTGAAAAAATATATTGATAAAACATTCAGTATCTTTTAGAAAATTCATTGCATTCTCAACTGTACAGAGGAAAGGTTCCTGTATTTACTAGTATATCATGTAGACTTTGATATCTACTTCTCAATCTGGTTGAAATATTTACTATGTTAACAATTTTGGTAACCTTTTCATTGTTACATGTATATGGAAGACATTGAAAAATTTTGTCATTTCATTTACAAAGTACAAAAACTCACAAATTGTAATTTAGAATATTACATGTTTACCCCCGACCTTCTCTGTCTTTTACAATATATAAGCATTTGTATATACATTTACTTACATTTCTAGCCATTCTCGGACTTCGGAGTTTGTCTCCTGTTCTCGTAGAGCGATCAGATCTTTAATGGAGACTTCTATTCCTACCCGGACCAATGTAGCGTAGGGGTGATCAGAACAGTGGCGGTTAGCATGTGTAAATCGACTCGTACAACCTGCAACACAGTAAAATCAAATTAAGAATGTACATGTGTATTACATATAAAATAAAACAAAAGGTATATGTGTAAAGAATGTGTGTAAATTTCTGTATCTAATGATGATATGTAAATTTTGATGAATATATTTCTTTTGAATCCTGTACATCTTGTATGTTATGTAATTCTATTATATTATCAAAATGCAAAGAATTCATTGGAACATTTTTTTATATTGGAACATTTTTTATGAGCATACATTAAAACATAGAAGATATAGCATTGCTTTGCAAGAAATTAAAATATAAAATTACCCCCCCCCCCCTCGAATGAAACAACAAGATATGGATGTTTTCTTTTGCTTTTCAAAGTTTTTCAGGTATTAGTTGATTTTTTTTTAAATGAAGGCTAGTCTCCATACTTTAAAAATTGATACTTTGACCGTAGTAAACAATGAAATATACAGGTATTAATGCACATGCCTGTTTCTGAACACATGAATGGTTTTTCGCCCGTGTGAAGACGCTGATGTGTCTTTAGTTGTCCACTCTGACAGAAAGCTTTCTCACACCCAGGGTAGTCGCACCCGTAAGGCCTCTCACCTGTAAAGGAAATAATAATAAAATTTTAGTATATGTAAAGCTTCCTTCATGGTATAATTTCTTTTTCCCGCCAAAATAGAGTTATTTCTCTTGAAGTAATAAATTTCCATGGTAAATTTCTTTTTCCCGCCAAAAGAGTTATTTCCCTTGAAGTAATAAAAATTAATATTATTAACACGTGAAAAATCTAAGCACAATTAATTTAAACAATAACAAATAATAGCCTCTAATAATTATGCTAATACTATCGACTTTATTTAACTGTCGACATTGTTTACAGGTTTGTCCATAACAAGGATTATTCTAATTTTGACACACCAAGTCAACATACGAGCCGATCCTACAACCATAAAAAGTTGATTTTATTTTGTAAACAGAGAACTTCCGTTTTCGTGGAAAACTTTCAGTAATCTAACGTTGACTAGGGAATCACAGGCACCTGACGTTACTTATTTTTCTTTTAATAAAAAAAAAATATACCCTTACCTTATAATAAACCAAGGTCCCCAAGGCGCCATCTTGATATTTTTCTAGGTCTGTCACATCAACTTGTATTTTCGTGTGAAACTCCGTCAAATAAATTCTCTGCAACCATATTCTTTTATGTGGCCAGTCTTTCGGTGTAAATTTACGGACAGTGCAACCAGAAGGGCGCATCACACTTGCAAATATTAAAAATCCCTCGTCAAACTCGATCTACTGCTTCAACAATCCTAGAAATCGCATAGGGGGGCCTACATTTACATACGATTTGAAATTCTTAGGGAAAGCCCTTTTTTGATTGGTCAATATATTTGTACGATTTATTTTTAAAAATAACCTGCGATATTCCAAAAACAATAATACAACGTAATATACATGTAAGAACATTCATTTTATATCTCTCAAAATAATTTCGATATAGCTTGATCAAAGCGATTATATTTTATAAATGTAGATCATCATGCTAGCTGATCAACATGATCAATGAACATTTTCAATACAAAATATTGATACTTAAATGCACTAAATATAATTAATATATATTATTGATGCCCTGATTGAGCGTTATCCATGGAGAAGATTGTGTTCTAAAATATGTACGCACGTGTGTGAAAAGGGGGGGGTCCACAAAAATTATTCCAGGGAGTGAAAACCAATTTTATGTATTGCAATAAAGTAGTGGCATGGCGACATTTTTATTTTTTTTCTTGGTGACAATTATACATATAACGTTACATGATAAATATGCTAATATTTGATTTCATTACATATCCCCGAGCCTTTAATCAGTGTGCCCCCTTCCCTTTTTCAATTAAGCATATGCCAGGTATATATGTTACATAATGTATAGTCTATATATATAACTGGATGGTTTGCAGTCTTTTGTTTTTTGAAAACACACACACAGGATGATTTGTTGTTGATTTTTTTTTCAAGCAATTCAAGATTGTTTCATAATTAACGGATAGATTAATACAGTATATTTTACAATATGTTTATAAGAAGTATTTTATTTTTCCCATTTTGCATTTTTTTTTCATTTCAATAATCGAAATATTTATTAAAATTCAAAGTAATTATAACACGCCGCTTTAGATCCACCACAAAACTGAAAAATACGGAATTCCCATTAGCATATTTTTTATTTTTGCGATTTCTAGGATTGTTGAAGCAGTAGATCGAGTTTGACAAGGGATTTTTAATATTTGCAAGTGTGATTTTGGTTTCACTGTCCGTAAGTTTAGACCTCACAGACTGGCCACAGAACAATATGGTTGCAGAGAATTTATTTGACGGAGTTTCATGATGAAAATACAAGTTGATGTGACAGACCTAGAAAAATTCAAGATGGCGCCTTGGGGACCTTGGTTTATTATAAGGTAAGGGTATATTTTTTTTTATTAAAAGAAAAATAAGTAACGTCAGGTGCCTGTGTAGGGAATCTTAATATTCATACGCATGTATGTTATAAAAAAAATGATTTGAGAATTAGTAGTTGGAATGATCTTACATGGATATTTGTACAAATATAGGGACACCATTTTGAAAGTCGATATATGTAGAAATTCGTAGACATCGTATGCAAGCTGAATATTGATGTATTGGTGTACACATTTTCGCTTTAAAGACATAAATTACCATGCATGAACTAGATTAGATATTTTCTTGCAGGTAAAAAAAAAATGATCTAAAAGTGGGCTTGAAATGTTAAAAAAGGATGCTAGAAAAATTCAGTTTAAATTTTAATGGATTTAATAATTATTTCATATATACGAGTACGTTCTACACGTTCTTAGAATCTGTATGACGATGTCCCCGTTCAGACGAAATCTTCACAGGAATCGATATTTCCTTGGACTCTTTATCTGAAAACGAATCTTTTCGCATACTTGGTCCCTTGGTCCTCTTTTTAGAATATTTTGATTTGTCACACATCTCCAAAGTAGAAAGGTCACGCTTCACTCAACACGCGTTCTTGGATACGGGACAATTATCATACACATTTGTCATGTAGACACATGTAGATCTAAAATATTACCGACATTGTAAATAAATCGAAAGATTTCCAGCGTGCATTATTTTTCTGCGCCTCTCGACTTGACTTTGTTCTTGGCAAATCAAGGTGCGCAGTGGGGTGTTAAATTTTAACACCTCTGTGGTTTTGAATAGTACCTGGGTAAATTGGCAATATTCAATCAACGAATTCAAATTGGGCTGTGAGAATTTGGGGATATATAATCGCATGCCTATCCGATTATATGTGTGTCTTAATTTCTCGCTGAAGGAAAGCTCTTTCTTCGTTTTAAACTTCCTCTTCTTTTTTTGTCACAAAGACGTAAATCATTTGAATCAAGTGCATTTTTTTTTTAATTAAAGCTGTTAAATCAAAAAAGAACAAAGAAATTGCTTGCTGCGCAATATTTTCCATGCTATATTTCCGATACTGTGTGTATTTGAATAATTCATTACCCAAAATATGATTTTTCCCTGATTATGACTGAATTTAAATGCCTTGTCATTTTAAACGTCAGACTAATAATAAAAGCACGTGTAGAGTGAGTTTTTAAATCCTAAAGATATAAACAACCAACATTCAATAAATAAATCGAATGGGGGAAGCGATCGAATTTAAATGGCCCAAAAGCACATGGCATCAGTTTTCATTACATGAGGGGGGATGCACATTTTATTTTCAATTTGGGAAGATTTTTGGCAAATATATAGTTTTGACTTGACTATATCAGAAATCAGTGATGGAAAAACGTTGTTTGTGTGAATCGATCCATGGTATTAACTTTCGCGTCTGGACTTGTACATACAAACAAGGCCCATGTTGCTAAGCACGCCTAAACATATCCCATATCCTTTTGTTTAACGGGACGAACGAAATTGATGCACTGTTTGTTTATCGATCGTAGCCCTAGAAACTACGGTAAAATCGAACCTCTTCATATGAGACCTTCGTGTGGAAACCCAGCTAGCGTGATCATAAAAACACGGATAATAGAACCAATGGGGCGGGCAGCAGGTAGCTGCTTCAATCACAGCGTAGACCTTGGCACAAAAAAGTTGCCATTTCTTATAAATTAAAAGAAACATCATAAAAAACCGAAACAAAGGCAACCACATGTATTGTCCCAACTTTCTAATCATGTTCCTCGGGGCTATAAGTGGACTTGTCCAAGTTTGGTTATTTTCGACTACCTGCCTAATGATTTTTGTCAACTAAAACCTTGTGCAAAGATATAGCGGATCGATATTTGATCTAGCTTCAAGCGTGGTACACACATAATCGCACAGAAATAACGGCACACTAGTTCAAACAAGTTTAAATCCTGTCTTTGTTCAAAACTATACATTGAGTGATTATTCATGTAGGAGCTATTCAATTCAAATTCGTTCTTGGAGAACGGTTTTTGTGGCATTTCATAATCGCAATCCCCAAAGTTTTCCCAAGTTTATAACTTCCAGCCCCTTCCACTTTGGGGAAAAGTTTGCCCCAAAATGATTCTGTTTAAATCCCCACAAGACTTTTAAATGTTCATCTTTAAAGTTCATTATATTTATCAATCTATTAATAAATAGACAATTAGTTATTGATTTAATGTTGGTATTTAAATTTCCATTTAAACTCACGTTTGGAAAGAGAAGAATTTTAGTCAGTCTTGTAATCTCTTATACGCTAAATTTTTACTGTCATTCACAAAATAATGCGAAAAATTGAATAAAAATTTATAATATTTTTTGGGTAAAAGTACACTTTCGTTTTGATTTCAATGGAGGTCACGAATGGTGTCTTTTGCAATACCCGTACTCATGCAGGATCTTGCTGGCACAGGTTCATAAATCCTAAAATTCTAATACTCGTTAAGGTTAATCAGCTGAGTTGATGAAACTGATTAAATTAGAAGCACGTGCATATTACATTTGTTTGAAAACAACTTTCAGTAGTTTAAACCCCCAATCGAATGTGAAGTGCATAATTACGATGGGGGATTTAAATATCCAGAGACTTTTAAATTTCGATTGATATTTATTAAGTTTACCTGTATGGGTCCGCATGTGGGCCTGCAATGATTTCTCCCGGGGGAACACTCGGCTGCAAACCTCACAACGGATACTACAGTTCGACATTGATCCCTTAAATATCAAAGAATTCACAATATCCGCTCTGGGTCGTCCACGCCGCATATTTGGGTCCTCATATTCGCTGTCCCCGTCCGCTGAGTCCCCCTCGGGTGATCCCCGGCCGAAACTTGTGGGTGAGGGGCTGTATGGCATCGTTGTGATGTCTCCCCTATTCGAAGAAATCATAAAATGTAAACTTTAAAGTCTACTCGAAAACAGTCCTGGTAGGTGTCTGAGTGGTATTTAACCACACTGTCATGCATAAACCCGTTAACGTTCCTACACAGGTAATCCGACCAATCGGTTACCTGGTGCTATAAATATAACATTGGGGTGATCTCTCTCCCTCATATATGTATGGTGCGAAATTGGCCCCCCTGGTGATGTTTTAATTTGATGAACGGGGTTAACAAGTTACTGTTCACTTTGTTGTTTAATTAACGCACTGCAATAATTAATAATGATAGCGGTAAAACTTTGGAGATTTATTTACCTGAAAAAGAATTCGCGCCAAATAAAGCTATATTTGGATTGTTGACGAATCCACACTGACCTTGTTACCATCGGAGTTTTCTAGAGTTTACCTTACTTTATATCGTGATTCCGAGTGCATTGAGAAATCCCGAGCATGCTCGGTTACCCAGCAAGAAACACGCCATATTGACTGTCTGAAAATTTGGAAGGCCGTAAAATCCATTAACATCCTCCAAGAAGAGAGGAACAATGGACTCGCAATACGGCATAGCAGTTACAAATAAGTTTGATCTCTTCGGAGATGATGTTTCTGACCCATTAGAGTTCCTGAAAGAGCAAGAGGAGCTAAAGAAGAAACAGGAACTCACGAAGGAAAAGGACAAGGGAAAGCAAGGAAAGGATAAGAAGGCAAAGAAGCAAAATGCTTCTCAGTCAGACAATAAATCCACAGAGCAATCTGTCCAAAAGAAAGAAGGTAATGTTATGGTTGTTTGTATTGAATGCACTTGTCAATATATCGCATTTCTGCCTTATAACACGAACATTGTCACATGGCTAGACCAGTGTGTTTCTCACTAGAGGTAATTTGTCACAGCTGATCATATGCATGTTTTTATCTAAGAATGATGAAAATTATTTGTTGTGCATAGTTTGGGATGTGCAATTGTTTTTACTTTATGAATTAAACATAAAGTCCCTGTCATCGGTTGCACTTGTTGAGCAGCCCACGTGGGTGAGTTTCAACATGTCGAAATGTAAGGTTAATGAATTTTGTTTATAAATGGTGTAATATTGGGATTTGAGTTCCTACAATAATTGGGAAAAGATTTTTTTTTTTTGCAATCTTTTATTTATTTGAAGTTCCATAAGCAAAACATTATCATAACATTGTGATTCAGTATCTATGATAAACAACATGAATTATGCCCTTAGGCATTTTTCCAGAATGTCAAAGACACAGTACATTCATCTAAATAAATGTGTAACATTTCATAAAGTAATTCTGTTTAATAAATTGAAGCATCTGAGATTAATTAAAATGTAAATATAGTAAAATATATTGAATCATTTGAGACTAATTGATAATATTTGTTATCACAGACAAACCCAATACACAGTCCCGTCCCCCGCGCAGTGCCCGACAGAACCGGGAGCCAAGGGAGATGAGGGATGACAATGACTCCAGGCCCCCCAGAAGGAGAGAAGAGAATTCTCAGAACGAGTTCAGGTAATATAAACTGAGGATGAAATGTATTCCTTGCAAATTCTACTTTATTCTAGTATTGAAGATTGAATGTTGGAAGAGGTTAGTAATGAAAAGTTGATATGAAGAGTAAACTTAGACTTGTTTTGGAAAAAGTAACAAGTCTTTTTGTTTTGGATCAGCATTTAATATTTTAAATGTTTGTTTGACAGATAAATTTTACCTGTATAAAAATGGTATATTTTCACTATAGAGAGAGGAGCGAGGGCAGTGGTGGAAACTTCAACCGACCCGAGAGTGGAAGGTTTGGCCAGAGAGGTCGCGGTGGACGAGGGCGAGGTGAAGGTCGCGGTGGCCGAGGAGGCAGGGGGCGTGGTGGCTTCGATAGGGGCCCAAAAAGGGACTTTGAACGTCACAGTGGAAGTGATAAAACGTAAGGGTTACATTTTTTCTTCATTCCTAAACTGTTGTATGAAATTGCATGAAAACAGTAATTTGTGACAGCATGCTATTGATGATGGCGAACCATGCCATTCCATGGTGGCTGAAAAGTTCAGTGATCTTGCAAATAAAATTAACTATTTGGTTTTGCTGCAGCAGTGGTGTGAAGCCAACAGAAAAGAAAGAGGGAAGTGGTTCTCATAACTGGGGATCATTCAAGGACGATTTGCAGTAAGTCAGAAACTGGTTCATGGTGTGGGTTTGAATTTAACAAGAAACACAATTATCCTTTACTAACAATTATGACCTCCTTATATTTAGTCAGGACATGTATATAAATAGTACAATTAAAATTATCCATAAATATTTTGAATGAATGAATCCATAAATATTTTGAATGAATGAATTGCAAAAAATTGGGGTACATGAAATTCTAAATCCTGATTATGATATGGGGAAATTCCTACAATTTTAAGTTTGTCAAAGAAAACTGATGATTAGCATATATATGTATTGATAATTATATAAACCACTGTCGAGAAACATTGAAAATGTGACTCTAGATCTTTTTTAAAGGTTAATATTTGGCACATACCACTGCACAATTTTTTCCCCTGTGTATACCAACAGTTCCTCACTTGTATTGCAGAGTTTATTTTTGAAAATGAGCAAAGTTAAACAGGAATGCCATGGTCTTGTATATATTATTTTGCATGAATTGTAAAAAGAATTGATGTGACTGTGTTATACGAATTTTGGAACTAGACAATTACCTGTATTAATACACGTGCACAATGCATGTCATAAAAATTCAAAAGTATTCATTTAATACATTAATTAAATTTTTTTTAGATAGTTTGAATTTAAAATCTCTTAAAAAATTTCTTCTCAAGAACCGTTAAGCTAGAAAAAGTGAGATGTTTGAAAGCGTCATAGCATAATATAAATTCAAAATTATGACACCCAACCCCCACACCACACCACACCCTGAATAGGATAGAGCCACAATTTTCCTCAGCATTTATTACTACCCTAAAACACAGTATTTGATTACCTATGACATTTTACCTGTCACTATGTGACTGACAAGGTCTTTCAAATGTTCTGTACAGTGAACCCTCAGATATCCGGACGCCAGATATCCGGATGCTTCAGTATCCGGACGATTTTTCATCGGAACGAAATTTTTAAATGTTATTTTGTCTTGTTTAACTGGTGATTCAGATATCCGGATGCTTCACATATCCGGACAAATTGACTGGGAACCAAAGTGTCCGGATAAATGAGGGTCCACTGTAATTAATTTTTGACCATTTGACATTGAGAAATCCATTCAGTAAGTCCCTGCAAGTCTAAGATAAAAATCCTCAGAATGTGCTTGTTTCCTATAAGTAATGTTAAGCTTTCACTGTAAGAATTGTTTTGAGTAATTTTTGCATTTCTTGTTTAATTGAGGGGCATTCATTGTAAATCTGTTATTTGTGTCGTCTGTACACTTGTAAGTAAGGTTTTCATCCTCTTCTCGAGAATCCTGGTGTCATTTCAATCAAACAGGACATGGTGTATGCCTGAATGAAAGGAAATTCTAATTTGTCCTTATGATGGATCATGTCCCATTCCAAGGGAAGCAAAAGTGTGCATGAAAAAATGGGTCTTGAAAATTATTATAAAGTCATCAGTAAAAAAAAAATACTAGTAAAAATATTTAATATGAGTATTTACATAACTTTGACAAATGCTTAGATATGTAGTATAAACAGTTAATTTGTTGTTGCACTGTCATTGACTTGTTGGGATGAGATGTGAGATGGAGCTAAAATAGATATTTTTCCACAGAAGTGGGGATATTTTATTTACCCAGAGTAAGGGAACAAGTAATTGCACTCTAAAAACTATGGTTTCCCCCAAGATGATCAAATTAAAATGATCATTTATGACATATTGTATATTTTAAAAGTCTGAAGGAAATATTTTTCCATTGATAGGTTTATATTGCTAGTACATCCATGAAGAGATTTTGTATAGCAATACACCAATACTAATACTATACATTTATTGACGAAGTTTGAGGGCAACATGCGTTTTGTCGGACCCAAGAACCAAACTCTCTGCCTGGAGCTGTTAGGCGGAAGGCAGACAGTTTGGTTTGAGGGTCAGCAAAACACATTTTGCCCGAGAACAGTCCATGTTTTTTATACCTTCATTTTAATTTTTTTGACATACATATTTTGTAATATTATACTTTCATGTAAATGACTTGAATCTGATTCGTTGAGAAAGATTTGTTAAAAAACACTATTGCCCGCTGAATAATGATAATACCTGCCCTCCTGCGTAGCAACAGTCAACATTGCTTGACGACGGGTGATATTCCAAAAAATAGTGACTGTGAAGAATTTATGCACGCTCGGTTCACTGTTGTATGTATATGTGTAAAACATTCAGTATAATATAATAAATATTGCATGTAGTTGAGTGTAGTTGAGTGTAACATTGAAAATTTTCTCCCCTCGAAAACCATTGTCAACCTCGGCAGTGCCTTGGTTGACAATGGTTTTCTTGGGGTGAAAATTTTTCAATGTTACACTCAACTACATGCAATATATATATACTGTCTTCCATGATATAACCTCAGATCCGTCAATTTTGAAAACCAATGAATGAAAATATTGTGCCTGATTGAATGAAAATATTGTACCTGATTGAATGCAGGATTGTCTTGAAATGTCTCTTGCATTCTAGAGGGCTGTATCTTATCTTCCAGAAGATTTAATTGATAGTAAAAAAAATGACGAAAAATCTACTTAATGACGAAAAATCAAGTAGATTATAAATCATAACCAGAATAATTTGTTCTGTTTTAGGGAGGAGATTAAGGAAGCGGAAAACACGGAACCAAAGGAATGGAATCCATCTGAGGATGCCGAAAACCAGGACCCCAAGTGAGTAATTCATGTCATATGTAGGAACTCGGATCCATTTTCAATCGGTTAATTTCTTAAACTATTGAAAACAAATTTTACTTTAATTTTTAATGCAATTCACTGTAAAAGATGTTATGGTCCACTACAAAGAATTTTAAGGCCTTGCAAGGATTTGCAGATGCCCTACAGTGATGACTGTTTTGTCTATTCATCCACACATTTCTCCCATTGCCATGTAATGTTGAATGACATTTTTAGACCTAAGTAAATCTGGCGTGTATTGAAATTGTGACTGAATTCCCATCTTGAATAATGAAAAGCAAAGAGGGGAAAACAAAAAGAGATAACTTCCGAAAATTTTCCTGCTAGAAACACAGTAATTATATCATACCAAAAAAGGGTCTGACCCTGAATATTCTCAGGGTTGTCCTGAGAGCCGGGGTCTGGGGAAATTCCCTGCCCATGATGATTTAATCCCCTGGTTATTCTGGTATTTTCCCTTGACCTCTTAATGAAGGAATTAGGCTGGGACGATACACATATCGATATTTTTGAAAAAATATCGAAATATCGCCTAAAAAAATCTGACTTCTGTTTTTCTTTGTTTATTTAACATTTGGGGTTTAATATATAAAATAAATAAGTTAAATATAAATATAGGTATGAAATAAATAATAATTAACACCACTTGAGTAAAATATTTTTGTTTTACAAAATATAAACAACTATTTTGAATAAATTATTTTCATTTGCAAAGAAATAATTTGTTTATTTCGATGCAAAAAAAGATTTTATAGGCAATTAAACATATCGTGATACATATCGTATCGTGGCTCAAATATCGTAATACCTATCGATATAGAAAAAGTTGTATCGTCCCAGCCCTAGAAGGAACCCCACCCACTTCTACTTTTATAGTGTTCCCTGCTATTTAAATTCATAGGAACAACCTTGATCCTTGTTACACCCAGCAATGAATATGATTGAATGTTGATACATCTAACACTGCATAGCTAAACCATGTGCATGTGTGACAGTGGATGCATTGAAGCTAAAGATCTTGAAATGAAACGAATTTACTTTGGCATGAAAAGACAAATTATAAAATTGTTTAATATAATTTGGGACATGTAAACGGTAAGGTTAGTGTTATTGTAGATACACCTGCCAAAAGGGCATATGCTCAAATATTTTTTACTCAAGAAAAAAACCACTCTTTTCAGTGAAAGCACGGAATCAACTGAACAACCTGTAGAGGAAGGCCCCAAACAAATGACCCTTGACGAATGGAAGGCTCAACAGGAGAAAAATCGACTTAAAAACCAATTCAACATCCGGAAACCAGGAGAGGGCGACTCATCGACAAGCCAATGGAAAAAAGGAACTGCCTACAGGAAGAAGCTGGAAGAGGAAAACGAGGAATCCGACGAGGAAGAGGAATATGAAGAGGTAAGGGTTTCGACTTGAATCGGTGATAGTACAGAGATTTACGTACCCTCTTTCAATTTGAGTTCTGATTCATTTCACAAAGACATTGCAGTAGGTTTATTTTTCATTGAAAACACTTCAACAATTTTATTTTTATATTTTTTTTTTTTAATTTTTCTTCTTTTTTTTTTTTGTATAAATTGGAACACAGTTTTACTAGACTTAAGTATTAGACAACAGATTATAACACTGGTTTTTGCCTGTAGGACAACTGTTCGACTCTTATCTTTATATGTCTTTTATTGTAAAGAGAACTAACAAACACAAATTTTTCTTATTTGGTAATTCTTGGGAAGAAGGTAGGGATACAACTGAATTTTAGGGAAATATGATTACTGTGCTAAAAAAAATAGATAATTCAATAAAATTTGATGAAGGAAACTAAACCAGATTCTGTTGCCACTTAGAAGAGACCTATTCTTAGAAGTTTTATTTTTTTTTTCTTTTTGATAAATCAAGACAATTGAGATTGTAGGCCATTTACTCTTGGAACTTCATTATATAATTTTGAGTATTTTATACATTGGTGGGTTGGTTGACTGGAGATCTTATTATTATTTAAAATATCTTACAGAGAAAAGAATAAATGATGTACTTACAGAATTGTACATTTATATAGGTATTTTCTATCATTTTACAGGATGAAGAGGCTGTCAGACAAAAGAACTTGGTGAATAAGTTTAAATTTGTATTCAATACGGAGACCAGAAGAGGAGGCAGAGGAAGAGGACCGCGAGAGAGAAGAGGTGGGGGACGAGGCGGCGGGGGTGGTCGTGGAGGAAGAGGTGGGCGGGGGTCCAGGGAATCCGCCCCCAAGTTCGATGATGAAAATGACTTTCCCAGTCTGGTGAAGTCTGAGGCGTAAAGCCCAGCACAGCTGCTTACAATATTTTCCCCCAAGTACTAAACAGTTTCATACTGAATGTTAGGAACTTGCTTAAAAGAAGCCATACACAGGCGTGATGTTTCTTGCAAGACACAACTCAATGTGAATCCATCTTTTTCATTATTTTGTTTCTTGTACATTTGTTTTGTCCACTTTTTTTCCGTGGATGTTTGTTCCACTTGGCAACCAGCCAAGATCTCAACAGAAAAAAAAATCATGGTATACATAAACTTCTGTGAATTGTCGGAACTTCAGTGAACTGCCTGAAAGAGAGTTGGAACATTTTAATTAAAAGCTGTGAATGGAGGATGTGATTGGTTGTAATGACCTAATGAACTGTGCTTAATAAGTGCTTGGTTTAGATATTTATTATAAGTTAATGACTGTTCAAGCTATTGACAATTAATATATGCCTCTAGCATGTTTAAAAAATTCATTTAGAGACAATTCATTTGATATTGACCATGAAACTGTTATGAATCAGTTTGTTATAGTGACATTTATAACAGATTGATATTTGGTGTGAAAAATATTTGTAAAATTGTTTATTTCACTTTATATGAAGAGAAATAAACCTTGGTATATATACCTCTTTATATGTATGCTTTCCTGTCTGTTCCTGATCTAGAGAATTCATTTGTGTGTTTGAATGAAAGAGATTAAACTTTTTTTAGAGTACATGATGGCATTGAGTTTTCTGAAGATTGAATTTATGTATGACATTGGTGATTGAAGCTGTCATGTCTCCTTTAAAAGCTAGATATTTCAAATAGACCTGCAGATTGCATGTTTATCATGAAACTGCCTACAAGGAATAAGCAAATGATGTTAAGTACCTGAATAACTTGTTTGTGCACTCAAATTATTAACTGCTGCAATCTTGTATATATATATATATTGTAAAAAATTTCATCATTTTAGCTCTACTAGCCAGAAAAGTTTATGCGATAGTAAGGTGTCTGTCGTATCCGTCTGTCTAGCTGTCTCGGTAAACAATTTTTCAAAATAACACTCCTACATATTTGGTCTGATTTCAATATAACTTGGCACAAAAGTAGACTACACTAAAGTACATAGTTGTGGTTTGATTTCATTATAAATTGGCACACAAGTAGACTACACTAAGATGCATGATTGTATCTGTTGCTGTCTGTTGCAAAGTTTCAAAACCAAGTGCTACTCCGTTGTTATACGTACAGACTAGTACTGCTAGAGTCTCATCAGACTTCTGGTTGAGAAGTGTTTTGAAGCGATTTGCCCAATGATTCTTGAAGATCTTTTTTATAACTTTGATCCCCGGGGGCCAGGATACTTTATTTATAATATACAGTTTACCTCCGAAAGCTTTTCAAATACATATACCCACAGGGGCATCTTATCTGAAGTAGAGAACAGAGTGGATAAGACACCCCTGTGATATACCCTTGAAAGAGAGGTACACTGTACTTATATTGAGGTGTAGAGGAAAAATATTCAAAACATCTCATAATCGCAATTGAATAGAAAAGCTGTTTTCTGAGATTTTGTGGATTCTAAAACGTTCTCATCAAGGTCTACAGGGTAGAGTGGTGCCAAAATAAGGAATCAAAAAATTTACATCGACAAATGTGGAAAAAAAAAAATGGGGAAAAAAATTCATGATTGCTAGAGCAGGAGGGCCGCATTCATGAGGTACTAGTAGTGTGTACATGCGTCGCAAATTGGAAGTGGGGGAGGGGTTTAGCCAACACAAAAAAGGTAAGGCCCAATTTTCAATGCCAACTAGAATTTATATCTGCAAAAAGAGGGGGTGGGGGGTAGAATGTGGATTTGATTGCTCAAATTCAGAAAGGTCTTTGACAGGACATGACAGTTCTTATCGTCTTAAACGTTGGAGTTGTCTCTCTTTCCCTAAGTAATAAATAAGGTATTGGATATTTTATGCCCCTGGATCAAAAGATCCCATTGTTACAACGCACTTTGAAAAATTACGCACTTTGAAAAAAAATTTCAAAGTGCGTTAAATTTGGGACCAAATTAACGCACTTAAAAAAAAAAATTCAAAATGCGTGAATATCGACCATATTAACGCACTTTGAAAAAAATGTATGGCTTGGTCAATATTCTTCCAAATCTTAGGTATGATAAATGATTTAACCTTTTCGATAACCTTTCGGTAATAGGGTCACTCCAGGATGTGAAAGAGAGCGATTTTGATTTTTCTTTACTTTGAAAATTATTTCTCTCTTAAATGTTTTACTGTACTTAAATTTTTCAGTTTACATACATTTTTTGTCCACTAAAATTTATTGAAAGTTTTCAACGTCATAGTAGTTATACAAAATAATAGTTATACATATATTTGCGTGTAGCATAAGTATCGGTACAGGCGCGGGGGGGGGGGGGGGTTACTCACACAAATACATGTTTTGCATTTAAATATTATAGGCATTGAAAACTGGGTTCCACTTTCACTTTGCTACCGACAGCTATGTACAGTGTATAAGGAAAAAAAGAGTTAGGCTGAGAGTATAGTCCTTCTACTCGTCTTCACCTTGTTCTTAATTAGGGTAAATCAATAGATGAAAATCAAAAAGGTTTCCGAAGCTAGACGCATGCGCTATCATCTTTATCAACATGATCATTACATGAAATCACAGAGACTTGTGTTTTATATCAAACAGTTGTTTCTCTTGATATCATATGGTTTTTATGTGTCCAAACTCATTCGATACTGAAGAACATATTTTATAGCATGATCACTTTTTAAACCAAAGCAGGCTCTTCACAGATAAGTTGATGTTACAGGGGATTCGGAAACTCTCGTTTAAAGTAAGCATTTCGTAGATCCTATTTCGTTACAATAAACTTGTTAGCAAATATAACTTATCATTTCTTGTTTTGGCTGATTTGTTCAATACATTGTTTGACATTTGTTTTGTTTGTTTGTGTGTTTTTGTTTGTTTTTGTTTTTGTTTTTTTACTAATGTATGACATATGACAAAACACTTCGTTTGTTTTCAATGTTCAAAATCTCAATGTTTCATTCAGATATCGATCAATAAATCCACAAAAAATCTGAGATTTGGCACAGGACATAAAATTTAAGGGATTTTGCATGCAATTGCATTTGTCAAATTAATCAAATGGATGCATCTTCTCTACAGACAAGGATTGGATGGTTCTAACAAAATCACTCCTGCCACCATGCATGGCTATATGATGGCGTCACAACCAAACCAATACCCCTGGAACGCATTGCTGCTCCTGCTATACTGTCATCATTATATAATTACTTGAAGGCAAAACATAAATCGATGTCAATATCAATGTTATTTAATCAAGAAACGGTGTTATTTCATTGAATTAAAAATGGTACTTTTAATGTATTTTGTTTATTGTGTTTTCCTAAAGTAGTATTGATCATTTTGTCTGATAATTCTCTATTTTAGAACTATACAGATTGTAAATGACTAATTACTAGTGGAGCATAAATTTCATGTTTCTTCAAGCAATTAGCTAAATTGTTTTCCCATTGGTAATAATTCTAATTATTACGTTTATCTGCCTCGATCGTGTAATAGATTCTTCAGTTACCAGTCTCAGTACCCAAGGGAATTTTGTAGGGCTGTGCAATATTACCGGTATATCGGTATATTGCGGTGTTATCCATCACGATAATATATCGCGATATGAAAGTCAGATACCGGTATTTCACGATATTTATAAAATATATAAAAAACTCCTTTATTGTAGAAACTGCTGAAATAATACTTGTAACTTCCTCAGGTCTTTTCAATCTAGTAAAAAAAATACTTCGTCAGCTTTCAGAGGCAGATAGAGAGAAAAGAGAGAGAGAGGGGGAAGCTTTTCATTCACTGTCAATTTTAAATTTCTTACTTTAAAATAAAATAAATAATTAATAAAAAGACTTTTATAAATAAAATTATTAAATAAAATTATTAAGAAGGAAAATACATAAAACATTTCTACAGGGTGTTTACCATGTGTACTGTGGTTCTCAAAATCTCATGGAATCTACACGATCGACGATGAATGTTAAGTTCAAGATACATATTACAAGTAAATGGCCGTCCTAACAAGTTTCATGCCATTTTAAACACCTCCATGCTATACCAGGAGCATGTATATTAACTAAAGCAATAGAAATAGGCCAATGCTGTTCCTGATCGTATGTCATAATGTGAAATTAGGTCGGGTCAGAAAAACACCAAACGCCCAAAAGTAGGTCACAATTTCTTTCTAGCTTTAATTTTATTCTGTGGCCACATAAAATTTCTATATACAGTAGTATGTATTGTTTTAATCATTAGTTACATTTTATGCTATTTCAATAAAACACACCCCCCCAAAAAAAAAAAAAAAACAACGTATAAAGAATATACATTACTATGCATAAACTTTTTTTTTTCAATTTGAAAATACATCAAATGAGTACATTTTGCTTTAATTTTTTACCTGGTTTTCGATTAAAGTTATTATGATTTTGTGTGCGATTAATGTCTTATCCCCCGCCCCCTTTAAAATGTATAGATAAATTCAAATAGTCTTTGAATTTGACAGCATTTTAAACTTTCTGCACAAATTTATTAATGATAATTAATCTACAATATATCGCAATATATTGCAATATTCAACATAAATATTGCAATATATCGCAATATGGTTTTCACTCGCAATACCCAACTCTAGAATTTTGCATAAACAATTTTGTAGATAACGCGTAATTTGTCTCCTCGAGAATCGAAGACCTGAAGCTGAAAATGGTGCTATTTTTTCCAGCGGCCCTCTTGATTCACAGTAGCATTTTAAGCATAGTATGAAAAGTTAACTATTACAAATATACATTCAGAAATGTTCATATGGAAATCAGATAACTATTAAGCTCTGCTTACTATTTTGGTTGCTTTAACCATTTACATGAGATTTGATACCTTTGAAGTTTGTAAACGCAAACGCGACGTACGATATGTTGAGGTTGAGTTTTGTTGCGAGGTAAATTAAGACGTTAACAGCTCAAAGTGATTTTAGTGAATAACTTTCGAAAATTAAAGATATTCATATACATTCAGTTCCTGTCTTGAAATTGGACACCAGGAAACATACCGCAAGATCTTTCTCTAAAAAGTGAAAATGTCCATTGATTTTGACGGTTACTTAGTATCATGAGAATATGACCAGTATAGCTTCAAGCGAACTGGTATTCTAGAACAATGTAATTTACCAATTTACATTTCATTAAGTTTTAACATTTCTTATAACCAAAATTTTAAATTAAAGCGTATCTACTAAGTATATTTTATTCCGAAACTTCATAAAGAATCCTCATAAACAAAGATACTTAGCGGGTTCCAGTAAACGTTCTACCAAGTCTTTAACTCCTTACTGAAATACTTACAATATTTTACAGTATTATTGAAGAAGAAACAGTAGTACTGTGCAACAATATATTCGAGAAGTGGTGAAAATCAGATGTGGATTCTTAACTTTTGGAAAATTTGAAATCACAGAATTTTACCAAAATCAACAACCTAAAAAATTGCGACTTTTCAACTTTATAGTTTATACACACCATTCCTCATGATGAATTTAAATCTCAAACTTTTTGACTTCACTGAAAGCTACTTTTTCAATAAAAATTGAACTCGTAAATTTACTAACCTTGTCATTGGTCATTTGC